GATCGCGTTATTTATAAATGTGTCGTAACCCTCCACCACCCGACACGGCCAATCAGCAAAAAAAGTGTCACGTTGACAAAAGACAAATAATTCACTACTTTTGTCAACGTGACACTTTTTTTGCTGATTGGCCGTGTCGGGTGGTGGAGGGTTACGACACATTTATAAATAACGCGATCTAACCCCAAAACACCTTTATTATGAATAATATTGGTCGCGAAAGCCTACGTGTTAAACTGAAGTGGTGGAATTGGCTACACATTGACGAGACCACGTTTAAAAAAAAAAAAAAGAAAATCCATGGTATCCGATGCGTTTACGGGTCGTTACCGCGTGTGGTTCGGGACGTCTTGACGTCGTAAGGCCCCCGCGCGTTCTGTCGGGTGCTTCTGAAGAATTCGAACCAACAAAAAAAAACAACTCAAGGAGCTCCCCATCACATGGGGCCCAAACGCAAGACGTCAAAAAGCTTCACAACGCTGGGAGCAGCCTCATTCAGTTCACGGAGAAGCTCCTGGCATGTGCACGAGATGCACAAACGAGGCGAGACACGTCAAGAGTCTGGCTCAGAGCCAAACAGGCCCGGGGAGTGGAGGGCTTACCCACACGTTCATTGTAACACCGACACCGACACGGTGTCACCACGTCACCCGCACGATGCCTCCACTCGTTCTCGGGGGAAGCGAAACGTCGCGGGAACACATCGGAGCCACACGGCGGCAACCGCAAAGCAACGCGCGAAAATCCGAGGACGCGAGGACTTAGGGGGCCCCGTCCATAAATGACGTCACACGATTTTGGACGATTTTGACCCCCCCCCCCCACCTCGTCACACGGCGTCACAAAAAGTCAGGACCCCCCCCCCCCTCAAATATGACGTCACAAAGCTCTGCTTCCCCCCCCCCAAAAACCGTATTTCCATTTAGAAAATAAAAACATGCTTCAAATCGCTTTAAACTATCGACATTGTAGTGCGTATATAATGTGGCGCTGGACTCTGATGTTGTAGGAGTGTTATAACAATTAGTGTTGTTATACAAATTATATATTTATTTAAAGTTGCGCATTTTGATGTGACGTCACATTTCTCAACCCCCCCCCCCCACCCTCGTCACACATCGTCACAAATGTCTGACCCCCCCCGCCACCACCCCCGCCCCCCCTAGATGCGTGACGTCATTTATGGACGGCCCCTTACGACAAAGGCGGTGCATCAAAAGCGTCAATTCGTTCCTCGTAGCGACGTGTCACAAACCCGGCGCGACACGACGGACAGACCGGAGCACTCGAGGACCGTTTATGAAGACTCTCGGCACCCAGGGCCCTCGTGGTTTGGCAGGAGCCAGGAGAAAACCACAAATCGGCGACGCAGTGGCCGCACACGGTATCAGAATCTGGCTGGAGCCAGCGACAGGCGCCAGGGGGTGCGGACGGGGCTAACAACAAACGGTGAGAACTGTCCGATAAGAAAGTTCTCACCGTGACTTTACCGAAAGAACCAAAGAGTATGGATCCCTGCAGTCACGAAAAACTTCAAATCTAGATGGTCCAATAAGAGGGGGTTTTTTTCTTTGTTGGGTCCGGTCGCGTAAGTAATGTTGTCGCTAAACAGGCCACCAGCCGACACGGCCAATTAGTCAAGGTTTTGTCACGGAAACAAAAACGCGCCAATTAGTTACTAGTTCCCACATTAAGAATTGTGGAGTGTAAACCCACTACAACATTTACAACTGTGTGTTTACTCTCCAAACACACCGGTGTGCTGAACTAGTAACCAATCGGCACGTGTCGTTTACGCGACAAACACTTTCCCATTGGCCGTGTCGGGTGGTGGCGTGTTCAACGACACATTTGAGATATTTAGAAGCGATCTAACCCCAAACCTGCACCACCCCCTTTATTATGGATATCGGTTCGCGAAATCCCTGCCACTGGCACGTGTTAAAGTCAGCGCAGTATTGTGCAGCCGAGGGAGGAGAGCTAACGGGGTGCGCGCCCTTGCCGGCTCGCACCTCCACAACGAGTTTACCACCCATCCGCATGTTAAGAGTTCTTGCTCAAGGACGAAACACGTGACGCGCGTGGCACGATGCACAATTCGGGCGATTCCACAGGATGGCGCAAATTGGCAAGCCTCAAGAGCGCAATGAACGGCACGGCGAGAAGGCGCGCTTGGATGTACTGCGGCAATCCGCCGTGCGAGAAGAGCAGCGATAAGGGAGAAAGGTTCCGGCAATGGCCGTGTTCAATACAGCGCGTCATCAGGTTCTGCGTCAGAGTCTGTACCTCCATAAACTGTGATAGTGACCCTTCATAATAATAAGTGTCCAGGAAAGCCCTGCAAAGTCTTAAGCCTTTCAAGCAGGCTCCGCACGCCGCTTAGGACATGTACCAAATTGTGTACCGGGTAACTTGCAGAGCAAACTTTACGTAGTGCAAGGGAATTGTTCGATGATATTGCATCGGCAGTGGTGCAGAAGCACAACAACAAAATAAGAACATATTCGTCAATGACACTGTGGCCTTACAATCATATATATAGGTAAAATGGCTGGAATTTTAGGCATGTCTCTTCTTCATAGCACATATGAATTAAGGCCATTTCTCCTATTTTTACTGTTTTTTTTAAAGGCCCGCGTAATTATTGAAGAATGTTGAGAGGAGTGTAGGACGTGAGAAAACCACACTTACACACGTGCCATACGCTACTATTTAGCCATGCGGCAAACACGTTGCGCTGTAACAGCTGCAGCAGCCACGACCACAGCAGAATCCTCCGGTGGCGGGGGGGGGGGCTGTCATAAGGCGCCACGGTGGCGAGATGTTAGCTACCTCGCCTGGTGTACACGAGGTCGTGGGTTTAATCCCGACCCTGACGCCTGCTGCTGTATTTTTGGGGTGTTGAGTGATCTCCCCGTGGCCGCGTGGATTTTTCTCCGGGTCCTCTAGATTTTCCCCTCCACACTTAAAATCAACATCCCGCGTTTACAGTATTTGGTTGGTAAGCCACTTCGTTGAGCTATCATTTGTGATGGCCAGGTCGCTTCTGAAAAACAGCAACATAAGCTCAGTGGGGGCCTTTATCTGGCATTTTTTATTTATTTATATATGGTTTTAGTTTTATAATGACATCTTTCTTACTCCAGTCCTGCACAGCAAGGGTCGCCGGACACGCACAAAGAGACGCGAATGATCCTCCCATTGCCTTCATGTCGCAAGCGCGAAAAAATCCTGCAAGCGCAGCGCAGAGAGCAAATCGCAGAAACCCAGTAAGGCGAGGCCCCGCGACGACCAGGAGGGTTGACCGCTTTACTCACCCCCACAATGCGATTGTTACACGAATCGTTAACAGTTGGGGAGGGAAAGGTTACGATCCCGACAGAACAGAAAAAAAGATTGTGTAATCTATATCGTCTTATTATTATTTGCTCTAATAGCCAGAATGTATTTTTTTTTAATATATAATCACTACGCCAATCGCTATGCTAATCGCTATTCCATTTTTTATTGCCCTAATTTGCGTCTCGATCGGGATCACCGGCATCGGATGAAGAAACCGTTCAGAACCCTCGCAGAGCCGTGCAACCCTTCGGGTCAAGAGACCGGTCTGGCAGAAGTGGGGAAACGCAGAGCTAACCCGCCGAAATCCACGCAGTTCGGCATTCCCCCTCATTCACGAACTTGCGACCCGCGATGTTGCCAATCCGTGGAGTTGCACCTGGAACTCTACACGGCTGCCGCATCGAGAGATACATTGATGAGATAAAGGGATGAGGAAGCATCTGCAGACGTTGCGCGTACGATCTTCCCGAAGTCAACAACATCGTCGTCCGCAAGATTTGGCATTCGCGAGCATCTCCGGAACGTATCGCTCGCGAATAACGAGGCATCACTCTCAAAGCCACTGTGGCCTATTGGAAACGTCAACAATTGATCCTTACACAATTAGGGCACCATATGCATGTCCTGAGTGTAGGAAATGAGTTCAACCGATGAGTTGTTACGCACCGAGCAATTTTAAACCGATTCTCTTTTCCACTGCCCTTTGTTCTGGCCTTGTGGTATACAAACCCATAATGCATTGCTGTGGAGGCTCATGGGTAAATAATATACAGGTAGTCCACGACTTACGATGGAGATGCGTTACGAAGACCCCATCGTAAGTCGAAAATATCGTAAGTCGGGGGACTACCTGTATATATAAAAACAGACCTCCATCCGTTCAGTGTCCCCACGTTCAATATTTTCTGACCGATGGCGTATTTGTTTTTTTCCAGGCCAACATTATTCCAGAAGCATTCGTTTCGGCAAACTCTGGACCTGATTTTGCCTTACGAGCCTGAGAATCGGTCGGACTCATTAAACAACTGTCGCCGGATTGCCAGACATTGATTGGCAAAGGGCACGGGGGCTATCCAAACGATTGGGGGCCCGTTCAACGTTGGAAAGCAGGTGGGTCCACAACCACTCAGCGATCGGCTGCACAGCCGTGGACAGCGCGACTTACTCGCATCCTGCGGCCGCTTTGTTCGCATCTGGGCGCGGAGCTTGCGCGGCAAGGAACGACAACGGTTGTTGTGGTTCTCCAGGGTTACAATACGGCACGGTCGACGCTTCGCGTTTGAGCGTCCGTCGCTACCGCAATGAAGTGGCTGGACAACCGATCGCAATTGGTTGCCAAGAGCGTGCGCGCAAAACGATTCCAGTTGCTCGCAACCAAGTTGCACGACCGATCTCTCTCGGTTAGGAGCCGGGCTTTGCACACAGCTCGGCAGGACAGTGCGCATGGACTGTGCAAAGCTCCCAGCGACACCTGCCCGCATATGCGGGTCAGGAACGCAGTTACTCCAGTGAGCGACAACGCAATCGCCTCCCAACAACTAATGGCGTGGGATCAGGTTTACGCGTTCGTCCGTTCGCTTTGAAGACGGGAGCGTTTCGTTATTGCTTAGCCGACGTTTGCATTAATCGCGCAAAAGTGAAGCAATGCATCGACTGAGTAAATGGAACAAACGTTTTAATGCGATGTTACCAGTAAAATTTACAAGCATGAAAAAAAAACAGTAATAAAAAATATGCAACACCCGCCATCCCATAATATTTTTTTTTATGATTTTAGACTTGTTTTTCCTTCGACAGAATATTGTGTCGCCCCCATCTGTACGTTGCTTCTCCGGCACTTTAACGCCAAAACAACAACGTTAAGGATAAGCAGAAAAAAACCCAGAAGAGTATTGAGGGTTTTAATTAAAAGTATGACCAAAACCCCCAACTTAAAAATGTATATTCGTGGATGTTAACCACAAATAATAATGGCTCTTCACAAATCTCCCACAGTGCCTAACATTGTTTTCTCATATCGATGTGTATTTTGATGCAAATCAGATTTATACATTTAAGTGCACGTTCATATGAACTTGTCAGTTACGTGAAATCAGTGGTCTCATTGGCAACAATTTCAAATGCTGACAAATTTAACATATGATCCTTCCAAACCTGTCACAAACTTACTACAATTATGCAAAAAAAAAAATATCATAATTTAAAATAAACCCACACCACGGCACGGGAAGAAAGATGTCGTAACTTTGTCAGAAATACTGAACTGCAACTGTATTTTTTACGCTAATAACACGCACGCGTCATGCCGCGAGAGGAGACATCGCCGAACAGAGAACATCATTATTGGCATGTGGGCCAATATGCTCCACCGTTGCCGCTAAACACCCACGGCCCATAAAGCTGATGCACCCCCAATACACAATATAGGTGGAAATAAAAACACCTTAACAATGAGAATGACGACAACAACAACAACAAGCAGTCCAGCCTACCGGCAACGAACCTTCGTAATGCACCTCACAGCTCGGGGGGACAAGTGAATGAACGCCCGAGCGAAATGAGTGATGGGGATTTTTTTTCTGCCCCCCCCCCCCCACTGCCAAGTTAGGATAATGCTGACAACACGTACATTGCTGATAATCGACATTACGAGATATCAACGTCAGGAGTTGTTCAGATTAAAAAAAAAATAGATCCCCCCTAAAGAGACCGGGCAATTTTTATTCTTCTGGTGACATCAGAGTGAAGTGGCCTCCACTCCGCCCCATCCTCGGCTAAAGGCCCGTCGACTACCACCCACCAAAAGCAGCGTGTGGTGCCAGGCATTTCATCCGAATGCCAGCTCTCTCTCTCTCTTTCTATGCTCACCTACCGCAGCCTTCGTTATTATCCGTCGCTGCCCGTCGACAAAGGCGGCTTTCCCCTCCTTCTGCTCGTCCGACTGGTGTCACGAGCAAAGCGGAACGTGCATATATGTCAACGCATATAATTCCCTGCACTTTGCTCAAGCGGTAACCTTTCAAACACGACAGCAGAGCCAAGACAATAACACCTCCGCACAAAAAACGTGCCAACTCAACGACCACCATCAACACAGCGTGCCGTCCCATCGCCGTCCTGAACCTTAAACCACCACAATTCCAACTGAATAGTCACCCGAAGTCAAAAGATTTTTTTACAAATATTATTATATTATTTTTTTCATGAGCAAAAAAACGGCGCTCAATAATAACTCGTTGTGCCACTGCCTTGAAGAACCACTTTAATAATCCGGTTACAATACCCTTCTTGGGCTGGAGTCCCAATTGGGATTCAGAAATAAAATTGGAACAAAACAATTGTGAAATATGTCTGCTTAAGTAATGATTTCTTTCTTGTTATCTGAATATTAAACTAATCAGATGCGCCACCACCACCATTATCATCATCATCATCGCCGCCGCCACCATCACCACCACCACCAACAACAATAACGACCACCTCGGTTGGAAAATAATAACACTGCCAATAATTGTGGTGCCACCACATAGCAATGGGGTTTATATTGGCCAGCGAACACCAACCCCTCAAGTTAATCAACAGGGCCCCCCCCCCTCCCTCCCTCCCTCTCCCTTCTGGCACCTTCCGCAATTTCCTGATGTGGCTTTTCTCGCGTTCAAGTACAGCAAAAGCTGTCCCCGCCAGAATACCGAGCGGCAGGGCCACCGCGCAACAAAGCGCCAATGCCATCGGCGGGCCCCCGGGTCCTTTTGCCGACGCAAGCCGGCGGACTCCCGGACCCGTCCGCCGGTTTCGCAGATGGGACGTGCGCAACCTGCCAAGAGGCGTGGGGAAACCGGGGTGGCTTCGGTGGTGTTTGTTTTTTTTTTTACGCCCTTCCTCCGACCCCACCCACCGCTCACCTGCCCACTTCTCGCTTGCTCGCTCGCTCGCCCGCCCGCCCGCCCGCTCGCCCGCCCGCTCGCCCTCGTGGTTCCCCCGTTTCTCCAGCGCGGAGAGAATTGCCGGTGACACGGAGGGGGGGGCGCTCTCTCCTGCGCGACGGCGAGCGCATCGCGATCGCCACCGGACGTCCCCGACGCCAACGCGCGGGGGGGGGGGGGGGGGGTTTCATCGTTTGCCTCCGTGAAGTTTGAAATTCACCCCAACGTTTTTTTTGTTGTCTCGACGTAACTTTTAGTCAGTTAATAGAGTTGAACATTTTTTTTTTCCCGCTTACATTTTTTTCCCGTTTTTGTCATTGAACCATACATTAGCAAATAGCAACATTAAGTGTACCACTGTTTGCGACAGGGACAGGAGGGCTATTTAAGGAGACAAGTGTACTTCCCAAAGTTGCTTTCGTTCAGGGGCAAGAGCCCCTGCTGGCGAGCCTCGTCTAGTTTTGCGCGTATCACATCTCGGCGCTCAATCCACTCGTCCAGCTCCTTGTCGCCGTGCGCGTACGCGCAACTGTCGTCTTTGCAGCCGCCGGCACCGCTGAGCCTGCCGGGGAAAAAAAGCAGAAACGCCGCGTCAGAATGTGACGGCCTGGCAAAGGGGTCCCTAAGATAAACCCTCCCTTGGACCCGGTCGGAAGCTGAAATGGTTCGAAAGGAGGGCACGAGAACGAAGCATCGATTCCTCTGCTGAAAGCGAGATGCCGCGCTAACAATACATGCTTTGCATCACACGTGTAAAAATCACTTGCTCCTATCATGTTTGCAACTGATATGCGAGCGGTTACACCTAAACAAACGGAGAGGAATTGTACATCTCGCCACCTGTCTTATCTGCACGTCTGCCTGTCCGTCTAGCTGTCTTGCCATTTAGCCATATGTCTGCCTTACTGTCTTGCCTGTACAGCCATCCATCCGCCTAGCTGCCCATCTGTCTGTCCATCTGCGCACCCGTCCGTCTCGCAATCTACCCACCTGTCCCGTCTATCCCAGGGGTCCTGGCAACCCAAACAACAACGACAACCAGAGCAGCCTTTTTCCCCCCGAATTCGGTAACAGACTCCACATTTTAAGGGCCGCAAAGCACTGCGCGAATAACCCCATTTTTAAAGAGCCGCACGCGGCTCCGGAGGCAGAGGTCGCGGGGCCGACCCCCCCCCCTGGCCCAGCCGTCATGTCCGGCTCCGCCCGTCCAACCGCCCGCGTTGGTCGACACGTACCACCTCTCGCAGACGGCGAACTGCCCGGTGGGGAATCTGAACTTCCAGCGCTGTTCATCCTCGAACACCTTCTCGCGGTGCTTCTCCGACGACATGTGCTGCCTCCACTGCTTGTCGCTGTTGCAGTTGCGCCCGCAGAGGCTGCAGTACTTGCCCGAGTTCTGCGCGATTGTCACGCCGGCAGAGGTCGCAGGGATTAAACGCCACCCGATGGGCCAACTGGCCGAGCCTCGGCGGAGTTCAGACACGAACGCGCGACCGCGGCGGGGGGGGGGGGTGGTGGGGGGTGAGGAACTTGCGGTGTTCACCTCGGCATAGTCCGTGGGCATGCAGATGCGGGAGATGCTCTCCTTGCCGGCGGGCGAAGTTCCATCCTCGGGGTCCTTGGCCGGCGTGCGGTTTCCCTCCAGCCACATCTTGTAGACCTCGTCAATGTCGGTCACTGACGTGGCGGGCACGCAAACCAAGAAGCATACTCTTTGGTTCTATTGGGTAAAGTCACGTAGGTGAAAAATAAAATAACAAAAAATCACGACGTTTCGGCCACAACACAAGCGGCCTTCATCAGGTGAAGGGACGAGACTGTCTGGAAGACAGCGCTCTCGTCCCTTCCACCTGATGAAGGCCGCTTGTGTTGTGGCCGAAACGTCGTGATTTTTGTTGTTTTATTTTTTCACCTACGTGACTTTACCCAATAGAACCAAAGAGTATGGATCCTAGCAGTCACGAAAGCTTTAAATCTAAAACCGAGAAGCGTCCGTTGCTTCGACTGACCGGAGCTGCCGCCATACGATGGAACTAAGGTACATCGTACGATTTAAGGATCCATGACGATGCTATAAGTCCTTTTTGTTAAATGTCGTTACATTGTGATTTTTGTCAGTCACTTTTGAGCTCTCAAATAATTTTACTCTTCAAATGAACAGCTATCATTATCTATTCAAACAACGCTTTGCCGTTTGCCGGAGTAATTGACATGGCGATAATAATACCGTCTTATCTCTTGCAACCACTGTTTAATAACTTCTTGCATAAAGGACCGAGCGTGTGCGCGATAAGCATTGGGATGATTGGAAAGATTTGAAGGCTCACGGCAGGCTCGTGCCAAGTTAGTTAAAAGCTGAAGAAACTATGTAATCTTCTTAACAGAGGTTTTTGGGTTAGATCACGTAAATATAAATGTGCCATCTGCGCGATAAGAGCTTCATAGCTCATCGGATTCCTCCGGTAAAAATAAATATTCCCAACGTGACAATAAAGAAATAAGAACGCGACAGTGCACGGACGACACGCTTGATAAAGTGCCACGAGTCAAGAGTTATGTCTTCTCTGGGTGACCGCACCGCGCGTCGGCATCCGTTACGTATAGTCGTACGGTGCGCGTCCCGGACGCTTACTCGAGAGAGAGAGAGAGACGCGCGAGCGTGCGCTCGTTGAGAGCGAGGAGACTCACGGCAGTTGTTCTTCATGTACATCCACACCTCGCGCTCTTCCTCGCTGTGCGCAAAGTTGCAGTTGCCAATGTAGAAGCACTTTTTCCCATTGAGCACGTGCGCACAGACCTGCGCAGAGAGCAACGCACGGAAGAGGGTGTGGGGCACAATTCACACATTCTCAGCGTCTGATCTCCGGGCTCGTGGGTGTTGCTGAAACAGCTTCGCATTTTTGTTGTTGTTATATTTTTGGTGAACATTAAGCCAAACATCGTGACACTAAAATGGCACTTTTTTTCTTCCCCTCCCTAGACCCAGCAACAAGGGCACACATCATTTAAAAATATATAAAACATTTTACGTAAATAAAGCGATGATGAGATAAAGTGATGCGATAAAGCGGTGAGAGATAAAGTGATGAGAGAAAGTAATGAAAGCTAAAGTGATGAGGAGATGAAGTGATGAGATAGGAGCAGTAATAACATCACAACGATCATCATCATCATCGCCATCATCATGGCTGCATCCTACTGTGCAGCATCATCATAATTTAAGGTGAGTTCATTTTGATTTAAAGCTTTCGTGACTGCAGGGATTCATATTCTTGGTTCTTTCGGTAAAGTCACGTAGAAGGGAATTCATATTCTTGGTTCTTTCGGTAAAGTCACGTAGAAGGGAAACAATATTATTTTATTGTTTCCTTTCTACGTGACTTTACCGAAAGAACCAAGAATGTGAGTTCATTTATTTACTAATATTGAAAAGTTTTTTTTTTTATTTACTTTGTTTATTATAACCTATTTTTATTCGTTGGTGTGATTATTTTCATGCATTTAATCGTTTATTTAGGTACGAATTTAAGCTAATTCATTTCAAGGATAGGTTTCCGTAGGCCACTATCGTTAATTATCCACGAAAATTGCTATTCACGAGCATTTCCGGAGCGTATTCACTCGCGAGTAACGAGGGAATACTGTGCGCACACACAAAGAACTCGCATTCAATGTAGTCCTGTTGCTAAATGTGTCTACTAAATTCAATAACACTGCTCCTGATGGCCAGGGCAGGGTGTGGAAAAAGGGCTGCCTACTATTATATGGATCTGAACAACGGCAGGCAAAGCTGAATCATTGCATGCCTATCATCATCATCACCAACCAGCAACGATCTTTCTACTGTTGGATGAAGGCCTCCCCCCTAAGCTGACGCCCACTCCTTACGAACTTGCGATAAACCAATCCATCCAGTACCCGCGCCATAGTGGCGAGATGTTAACTACCTCGCCTGGTATGTAGGAGGCCGTGGGTTCCACCCCGACCCTGACGCCTGCATATTTGGCATTTGCATTTTCTCTCTCTCTCTACCTGTTGTCGCGTGGATTTTTCTCCGGGTCCTCCGGTAAGACCCTCCGGATTTAGAATCAACGTGCGTTCAGAGTATTTGGCTGTTATAAATTCCTAAGCGATAAGCCACTTTCACTTGAGCTGTTATTTGTGGCCATGTCGCTTCTGAAACAAGAGCTATACGGCTCGGTGGGGCTTAACCGGTAAAAATAAAAAAAGAGTTTTGTTTAGTTTCAATGTGTGGTCGCTCCACCCCCTAGCGGGGGGGGGGGGGGGCACGTCCACTCTGGGACGCGTGTCGTTCCTCGGTTGCCCCTCCCGCTGTCACTCTTGACCACCACCATCGTCCCACCATCCCACCATCGAGTCACGGCGTGCCTCTTGCCCCAAGTCCACCCGGCGACGTCGTGAACCCGCGCGCGCGTCCTCCGATCCAACGCGTTAACCCCCTCCTCCTCCCTCCTCCTCCCGCCTCCTCCCGTTATCAGTCGGGCGCAGCGTACGCACGTCCAACAAACCTCGTAGTGAGTTGGGGCGACACGCATGGAGGGCGGCGCTCGCACGGAGATCCACTTCTTGCGCTGCGGGGACATCGCCAGCAGCGCCCTGCGATCCTTCGTCCAGCTGGGGCGAGGCACAGTTCACACAGGATCACAACATTTGTTTTTGTACACTGCAGGAGGAGAGGAATCCGATGAGCTATGAAGAAGCTCTTTTGTGGCAGATGTCCTGTAGGGGGCACGGGGGTGGGGGGTCCAGAAAGTTGCAACCAAACAATACGAGAATCGACAGGAGTGCAAAGTACAGGAGAGGTAAGAGAGTCACGAAAAACGAATTAATCAAAAATTAAGTATACAGGTCCAAATCGCTAAAGTAAATCCATTCCTGGCGATTTTTCAACAATAAATGCAAGTTTCGACTTAAAGCTTTCGTGACTGCAGCGATTCATATTCTTGGTTCTTTCGGTAAAGTCACCATGTAGAAGGGCAATCATAAAATAATGCAAATAAAATACTAAATAAAATATTTCCCTTCTACGTGACTTTACCGAAAGAACCAATAAAATAAATGCAAGCTTGGGCAAGGCAGCAAAAAACCAAGAGTCCCAGACCACAGCAAGACAACGAGGCACAGTTCCCCCCAATAAATTGCACTTTCAAAATTAACTATCGATACACGGTTAAGGTACTCAACTTACCCCCACCACCAGCAAACAAACAATAACAAAAACACGGCGGGAGTGCCAAGTACGGGAAAGGTAAAGCAAATCGCCAGGAAAATATATAGAACTAAACTGTTTTATTTTACTCGGTAAAGCCCACCGAGCTATCCGCTTTTTTTTCAGAACCGACCTGGCCAGGCCCCCCTCTCGTCCCCAGAGCCTCCCACACATTCACCCCACACCATCTCCTAGCAGCACGGTGGCTCGGGCGACAATTGACAAATAGCCGAGTTTAAATGCCCACATGTGCAGCCCTGTTGTCAGTTCACTGTCGAATGACAAGCCTCGCCACACCGTGCGCCGTTTCGTGACGGTTATTTCGTCATTCGCTACTAAACTTGCCAGCGTGGGTTCGTTGGAAGGAGGGCAGCATAGAGACTGGAGCATAGTGCAGTATAATAATGGATTCTAATGGATGAACCCTCTGCTGAAAAGGTAGCCCCATCAGCCTAAAAAACAGAGTTGTAAAATGCATCGATCGACACGAGGCCAAGTGGCTTGCTGTTTATAAAAACAAGCGCAAAAAATTCGCAGCGATGAACGAGAGACACCAAACAATCGAAGACAAACAACGACGACGCTCGTCACCTGTGCCGTGCTTTGGCTTCGCAATATCTCAGGTTACGGTCAGCCTCCGAGACCTGGCCATTCTTCCAGCACTGGCTGCACACAAACTTCAGCTTGAGTTGCAGCTTTGTGGACGCAGGGGGCTTAGACATTCCCTGGACAGACGGAACAGCACACAGGCCAAGGTGGTCAAGCGGAGCTTCAGCATGGCTTCAAGGAGAGCGTAAGCCAAAAAAAAACCCACAATTTTTTAACTATAAACTTTTTTTATTTTACCAGGTAAGGCACCCTGGGCTATGTAGCTCTTTTCAGAAGCGACCTGGCCACAAATGATCGCACAACCAAGTGGCTTATCATCACGTGGAACTTTATAGCGGCCAACTACTCCAAACGCATGTTTATGAACGGGGAGGGAGAAACCGGGGGAAACGTAGAAAAATACACGTGACCATGGGGGGAGAGAGACACGCAAACTCCAAATATACAGCAGGCATCACAGGGTTGGGATGGATCCCATGACCTCCTGCATACGTGGCATCCCCTGGTTGCCCGCATGCTGCTTACCTGGTTGCCCGCATTTGGTGCTGGCGAGTCGAGGGACTGCAGGTATCGTTTTGACTCTTGAGTGATGTCCTCTTGACTCAAACCTGTGGGCCAAACACGACGATGCGGAACAATGACGGCTTCTGTGCAGGTCTCATAATGTCCAATTAACTACAAGTTTCAAGTGACATCTTTTTTTTTTTTACCATGTGACAACTCAAGAAACCAGGATAAGTATTCAGCTTAACACGTAGGCTTTCGCGACCAATATCATCCATAATATAGGTTTTCATTTGGCGACAGACTGATGAAGCTAGTTGGAATTACTGGCAAAACGTCGTACTCACATTCTAAATGTTGTGAATTTGCTCTCCAACACAACAGTGTGCTGAACTAGTAACGAATTGGCATGTTCTGTTCAAGTGACAAACCTTATTAATTGGATGTGTCGGGTGGTGGCGGGTTTAACGACATTCATATTTACGCGATCTAACCCAAAACACCTCTGTTAAGGAGGAGTATTTTTTGCAAAGAGCGATTTTGACCATCAGGAGAGGGGGTTAAGGGTTTGTTGTTGTAACTTTCTTAAGCCCCGTGCCCTGACTGGTCATCCGTGAGAAAGAGCTTCACAGCTCATCAGATTCCTCCCTCCAGTATAAATGAAGATTCCGATTCTGGTTGACGACTGCTTAAGCGCGAGACCAAGTCAAGTAATTCGCCGGGCAGTTTTAAAATTTGGCCCACGAATCGTGGCAATCCACGACAGCCCATCGAACCGCACCGGGCAAGAAACCGTCACGCGCCCTACAAACTACAGAAACTTCGTCAGCCCGGCGGTGCGCCACGGACGTTCCCCTCCCCTCTCGCGGGCCACACCCACCGTTCTTGCTCTGCAGCACCCAAATCTTGAGCTCGATGATGTCGTGCGCGAAATAGCAGCTGTCCTGCCGGTTGCAGCCGAAGCGCGTCTCGTGCCGGCACAGGTCGAACTGGCACATCTCGTGCAGCGGCCGGATCTTGAGGTGGCGGACCGAAGTGCCGCGCAGAATGTGCACCAGGCACCTGCGGGCCACGACGGTGCACACAAACGGGGCGGGCGGTGGGTGGGGTGGGTGGGTCGGAGCACAGGGCAGTGTGGCCACAACGGAGGTGAGTTTAACGCGGCAAAAATGATCCATAATAAAGCTTTTTTTTGGGTGAGATCGCGTAAACATAAATGTGTCGTTAAACCCGCCACCACCCGACACAGCCAATTACATCTACCATGTTGTGGGTTTACTCTTGAAAACACCGGTGTGCTGAACTAGTAACGAATTGGCATGTTTTATTTACGTGGCAAACCTTACTAATTTGGTTGTGTCGGGTGGCAGCGGGTTTAACGACACATTTATATTTACGGCATCTACCCCATTAACCTCTATTATGGACAATGGGGGCTTCCGTGACCAGACAGCATCGTGAGTTTTACCTTCTGGCCCGATTATTTTTATTGTTATTCTAGGCCGCGATTGCCGGCACTCACACTTACAATTTTTTTCAGATTAGAAAATATCGCCCGGCAAATTACTTGCACGGGAAAAACACAAACACGGCGGCTAAAAAAATAACACGTGCGTTATATGACCTCTACACCTGCATCTTATGCACATCAGCTCAAGCCTCCCGCTAAATCAGAGGACTCCTGTGGGGTCAACCCCACTCCGAATGCGCCACGGTGGCGAGATGTTAAATGCCGCGCCTGGTATGCAGGAGGTCATAGATTAGATCTCGACACCTGCTGTATATTTGAAGTTTGCGTGTTCTCCCCGTGGCCGCGTCGATCTTTCTCCGGGTCCTCCGGTTTTTCCCTTCATGTTTAGAATCAACGTCACGCCTTGAGTATTTGGTTGCTATACATTTCCACGTGATGATGATGATGAGCCACTTTGTCGAGCTAGCATTTGCGATGGCCAGACAGCTTCTGAAAAAGAGCTACATAGCTCAGTAGGGCCTTACCTGAAATAACAAATTGTTTAAAGAATGCCTCGCCTCTCCCCCCCACCCGCCATCCCCTGTGAAAACCGACACCGCTGGTCCGTGCAGCTGCATCAGGGATCTTCATCCCGATCATCACCTTTCCTCACCGTTCTGCCCTCCCCCTCCCGTTGCTTTCCCAGCCTTTCGCTGCTCATTTGACATTCTTTCCTTTCCTATAAATCTTTTCTCTTTTTCCACACATCGTATATCGTTCAACAACAAAGATAGATACCTAATGCAAGGGCATCAAAAGTCTGCAATTAACCACACACAGTACTTGTGGCAAAATATCCAAACAAATACGCTCTGATAATATGCATCGTTCATTTTTTACTGACTGGCCTACACCAGAGACGGTCTTCTTTATGGCCCTGTCTCACTGGAGGAATCCGATGAGCTATAAAGCTCTTTTTCACACATGTCCAGTAGACCAGTGAACACCAAAAAAAGTCAAACAGTACAGTATTGCCAGAGAGGGTGAAGCCTATTATTCTTTTTTATTTTCTACTGACAAAAAGGTCCCGTAGATGTCACATCCTTCGCTCTACTCCCGACAGTTCGCCACGGGAACGAAAGTTGCCAGCGATGACCGCGGCAAAGACTGTATAGGGCAGCAGGTTGTGTGTGTGTACAAGGGCGCGAGGAAAGTGGCGTACTTTTTTTCATCGAAGATATGCGGCGGGTTGTGGGTGCAGTACTTAAGCGCTTCCTTGTTTCGCTTGCTTATCACCCGGGGCCTCTTGTCAAAGCAGTCCTGGGAGAGGGGGTGCGCGGGTAGTGCAGGGCAGGGTGTGCGAGAGGTCAGAGGTCTTCGTGGACGGCCACGAATAAACCGGGTCGACATCGTCGCGCGTTCCGCCGCTCGCCCAACCCTGGAGCGAGGCTATATGGTGGTGGTGGCGGCACTGATGAGACCAAACTTTATTTTCCCGGCGTCGAGCGCCATCAGTCAAGACCGATCTTGGAAAAAAGTACATGTGGGAGGTAAGCACAGCACCTGGTGATAACGAGGGGGGCAATGCTGTACAAGTAACATGATAATTTTTATTTTCACGTTACCAGGTAAGGCCCACTGAGCTGCATTATGGATCTTTTGCACAAGCGACCTAGCCAAAAATGATAGCTCAATGCCTTTGGCTGTCACGCGATGAACATTACTCTACGCATAGCAGGGCGGCTGATGATGTGCTGCTCCCTACTGTGTGAACCCCAAGGGGGTCACACTTGAAGGAGATCTCCGCGGTAGCCCCGCGCTCGCCAGTTCCGAGGGCCTGTCTAGACACTCCAACACGACAACAAGGCTCTCGGGCGCGAGAGCTCCGAGCGGATCGTCTGTGGCGCGACACGACACTGAAGAGCACAAAAAAGGACCCCCCCCAACCCACCCTCCGCCCCCCCACACGCACTCACCTCGCAGTAGAACATGAACATGCCACCGTGCGCACGCAGGACCCCGGCCACCGAGAAGTCGCCGCCCTCACTGCCCTGAAGCGAGTTCTCTCCGCCGAAACCGCCGGTGCCACCGCCGGTGCCGCCGGTGCCGCCGGTGCCGCCGCCAAACGGGTCAAAGAGCAGGTTGCGGTTGAGCGTGCCCTTGCGCTCCTGCGTCCAAACGTCGATCTCCTCCTGGCTGTACGCGAAGGTGCAGTGTCCCGCGAATCGGCACTCCTCCCCTTGCACGATGTCTGCGTGCGTGCGGCGGTGGGGGGAGGTGGAGGTGTGAACGTACGGCGAGAAGATGACGGTGGCTCCTATTGAAGCGGAGTGCCGCGGTGGCGAGACGTCAGCTCCCTCGCCCGGTATTTAGGAGGTGGTGAGAGTTCCGTCGTGACGCTAGTGACGCCGAATGTATATTTGGAGTTTGCGTGTCTCTCTATCTCTCCATGTGGTCACGTGGACTTTTCTCCGGGTCCTCCGGGTTTTTCCCTCCACATTTAGAATGAACGCCGCGGGTTGAGAGTATTTGGATGCTATACATTTCCACACGCTAAACCATTTTGTTGAGCTATCATTTGTGATAGCCATGTCACTGCTGGAAAAAAAAAACACCTCAATAGCTCAGTGGGACTTCCGATGGTAAAATAAAATTAGTTAATAGTTTTAGAGTTTTAAGTGCCCCGCCAATGCAGTGCTGCACAAGCTGCGCGTTTAACCAAAGAGGTGAAGACGATGTTTCGGAGTAGCAGCTAATGTGCATCTTATGTTTTTACCACACATCATTAACAAAGTGTAAAAGCTGCGTGCTGTTCAGACTTTCAACGAATTGAAGCTTCGTCAACTTAAATCACCAACGGTCCAAACTCAATTTGTCAAAATGACACGCGCCGAGCGTTTAACCAGGACGTTCTCCGCTTCCATATATTTTTCTCGGTTTAAGTCGTTACTTCACAGGCGAGCTTGATGAACGAGAACACTTGTTGCTGCACTGCCCGGTGCTGACCCCACAGAGCACTGCCTCGCAGCCGCCTTTGACAAACTGGGTTGTGCAAGATGGTTTCACCCATCCGAGGACTACGCAGGCTCATTTCCAGCTTAGCTTCTGCCACCCGATGAGATCAAGCGTGTATTCCAGGGTGATTTGGACGTAGGTTAAGGGCATCTAAGCCAGTCCCATTATTCGATGGGGTCAATTGCTCAGATTTTCTCTACCCATGTGCTTCTATTCTGAGCCTCTTCTCGAGTTCCATCAATTATCCTTACACAAAGGACTCGCATTCAAAGACACCCCCCTCCCCCGTGTATCCCTAATAGACTTTTGGGGCAAGTGCTATCAGGGAGTAGCACCTAAAAAGGGCAGTATTGTGCACGAGGGGGTAGGGTGTGATCAGCACCACGCTCGGCGCCTTCGTCTCCATAGTGGCGATGTTTACACACTGTACCAGGTACTCATTTTCAGGCTGAGTCGACCTAGCGGAGGCTCAGGACCAGTTCAGATAATTGTCGCTGGTGTTGACCATGAGCGGGAAATGAACTCGGGTCGCCGGGTTTGTAGCGCATTGCGCAAACCACTACACTGCCACTACGCACGTACAGACCCCACGGACCCACATACACTTACAAGATCAATATACTTCAAAAGATAACCACGGTCTTCCTAAAGGATCCATAGTCTCACATACACTTCTATGATTCATACACAGAGACCTGTAGACTAAAAACATTTTTTCTAAGCCAGAAATCCCATAATTGGATGGGGTAGGGCTGCTCGGATTTTTGCTCTCAATTTACCTCCTCTCCGTCTCTTCACTACACGCATCCACTGTCGTCATAGAGTAAAACCTTGGATTGCGAGTATTTTGCAAGACGAGCAAAATTTTTTAATATTAATTTGATAAACGAGCGAGGGTCTTGCAATACGAGTAGAACGTATATACGCTTTGTCTGCCGAGCGTCACGTGATCACGACTGATACACGAGTGCTTTGATATACGAGTGCTTTTGATTACAAACACGTTTCCGGAACGAATTATGCTCGCAATCCAAGGTTTTACTGTATTACGTTCCACCACATCCTTCCCTCTCACCCTACGTCTCTCCCCCGATACTCCCTTCTGCCCTGCATGAGCATAACAATTAAAACGATTGCAAGTGAAGCCCCTTTTTGCAATCGCATACCACTGATGGTTTCAGGTCCTTGTAAAATGACGTGTGCGCCGATGCATGTGTAAAATACTGGGGAGCGGCAGTGTAGCGGTCAGCGAGCACAGCCCTACGAACCCGGCGACCCGAGTTCGATTCCCGCTCACGGCCACCAAACACCATTAACGATTATCTGAACTGGTCCTGAGCCTCCCTTAGATCGACTCAGAACTCAAAATGAGGACTTGGTACAGTGTGTAAACGTCGCCACAGGGGAGACAAAGGCAGCCGGGCGTGGTGCTGGCCACCCAGACCTTTCCCGTGCCGTGCCTTCATAGAGTGCTGCTACTCGTTAACAGCATTTTCCCCAACAGTCTGTTAAGGCTACACGAGGGAGGGAGATCTTTGCCTTTGTGTAAAATGCACACCTTTGCAGAGCATGTAGACTCCACTGTAGCTTTTCATGGGCCTAGGCCTCACTTTCTGCCACTGTTTGTTGGGCATGGTCTTGAGTCGACACAGGAGGAAGTCCTTCTTGCACTTGTGCTCCGTGTTGCATGCCGAGCGATCTGCGCCACGCAAAACAGGGCAAAACATTGTCGTCTGCAGTGGGTGTGCAGGCGCCAAATAACGAAAACGCTCGTGATGGTGAATTAACGATGCCCCAAATCGGGTACCCATCGTTAAGCGGAAATTTCCATTGCTCGCAGCATTGTTCTTTCTGCTCTGCAGGAGGAAAACGTTGCCATTATATATTCTGAAATTTAATATTGTTGTCAGTTTCAGGGCACTTGACGTATGTATGTTGAGTTTTACAACATTTCGTTTCGAGTGTGTCCGTGGGGTACTGAGCTAATACAGGATTTGAGTGCCCTGGCAAGTCCATTTTATGAACGGAAACTGGTTATTTCCATGAGGAGAACATTTATTGCATTGACAACTTGCATTTCAATGTAATTCAATTGTCCATTTTATGCCATGAAATAATAGGGAAAAAAATGCACCATCAGAACCATCGAAAATCATGATGCACAATCCGATGCTCAAACATTGGATTGTGCATAGTACAGTACTAGACCGGGAGACTGCCTGGAATGTGACGTTTCTGTTCGGTACGAGACACCGATGTTACGTTGAGATTTGGGAGTGAGATAAAAAAAATTTTGTCCAATTATTCTTATTCTTTTTGGGGACTCCACCAAAAATCCATGATCTATGTGGGTCTCCACACATAACAACAACCGCCGTTCACCACAAAGTGGCGGTGACGTCACCACGGCACTTGTGCCATGCTAGGTGCACACTTTCAAGGCACGTGAAGTGTCGAAGGCCCGCAGACAGACACGGAACAGACCCAGCCGGTGCCATGGGCGGACTGAGATAATAGGCACATGCACCACCTCTGCTCCCCACCGTGCCAATTTGCTGAGTTTTAGCCGCCCTGCGCTCTTGCTCATTGTTGTGAACATTGCTCCTCTGTCCTCTGTTGTTGCAGGAGTGCGACTGCCTTCAACTAACTCCCCAGCAGCGTCCTCCATAGAGGCCACCTTTGACAGTACCAGTAGGTATCAGGTGTCATCGGCAAGCCTAATCAACTCCACATCATTAATCTCTTCTCTTGACCGTGATGCGCCCGTTTAGCCCCATCTCCCAGGCCGAACAGAAGCTGCTTGGGCATGCGGTGGTTGGGCATGCGGGTACAAGACAAAGATCTCCCGTATAGCCTTCACAGACTGTAGGGGAAAGTGCTATTAGCGAGCGCCTATGAAAGCCGGAATGGCGCACGAGGGGGTGAGTGGCCAGCACCACGCCCGGACACCTTTGGCAATGTTTACACACCATACCAGGTACTCATTTTAAGGCCGAGTCGACCTCAGGGAGGCCCAGTATCAGTTCAGAAAATTGTAACTGCCAGCTTCGTAGCGCAGCGCGCTAACCGCTACTCTACCACTTCCCAGGCGCACACACACACACACGCGCACACACACACACACGGACACGCAGCACGGGGACTGTTGGGACCGTTCTCTGTACCTGCTCCCGGGAAGCACAGGTGGCAGGCCTGCCTGAACTCGTGCGTGCTCTCCAACGGGTTCCGAACGAGCGGCAGAATCGGCCCGTCCACCGCCGCCATCGATCCGTGGACGTCTGCCGCCGCCCCCGCCGCGTTCCTCTTCATGTGGGCCCCGTCGGCCGCCGTCTCGGCCGGCTTCCTCTGCGGGCGGAAGGCGTCCCCGGGGGGCGCCCCATCGGCCCGCTTGATCTTCGGGAAGAGTTCCGACGGCGGTTCCGACTTCTTGGGCTGAGCGACGAGCGACGCAGGAGACCCCGCCGCGCTTGTTGGCCTTGCCAAGCCCTGCCCGAGTCGCCGCCGCCGCCGCCACCGCCACACGGGGCGATTCAAAACGTTATGGACGCGGCCACAAGGTGACGCGGCGCACACTGGGTCGCTCGTTTTAGGTTTTAGACTTTGAAACCGTTTGCCGTTGCTCGGCTCAATGATAAAGTCTCCCGTGGCCAAAAAAGTAAAACCTTCACTTCTGTCTACCTCGATCCAGTCTCGCTTAATGAATGGGCTCCAGGTTTAACGTAAAATTGTCTTGGTAATAACATCAAGCAACCTAGCAGCAGTTTTTTTTTTTTACAGAGCTGACTCTGATGATGAGCCCGCCAGTTAAAATTGGGCCAGAGTTCACCAGTTAAACCAATGCCTATGGAAAATACTGGTCGGAAAGTCAAAAAAATGTTACCTGGGCACGGTGGTTCATGCCTGCGATCCGACGAATCGGAAGCAAGGATAGTTGGATCTGACAAATTTGTGAAATTCCCAAATCTGCTGGGCTGTGGTCAGGAATAGAACCCAGCACGATGCGCTAATCGCGGCGCCGCCGCTGCACCCAATCAATAATCTGGAAGGCTTCAAATGCTACTTCTCATCAGCAACGAACATGACCTCCCATTGACCTGGGAGGTCATGCATCCAATCAATAGCCTGGAAGGCTTCAAATGCCCCGATAAAACTGCGTAATAATGTCTTGCACTGGCCTCGGCAGCGTGATCATTGTCAGCAGCTGTTGGGCCTGGCCGCTGGAGCTTCAGGAAGCCACTGGAGCTGTGCACTTTCAAATCATCTAGATTGAAAACTCATTTTCTTAAGAACTGCTTATTGTGCTTAGTTTGTTGTCCTTCACCGGCACCAAGATTCGCAAAGACACAATGTGAGGGTTGCAAACAGGGGAAGAATTTGTCCTTACGCCGACGTTAATGGGTGGGTGCTTAGCACCAACGCTCGCTGCGCCAAAGGACGTTGCGGCTCCCTGCACGCCAAACTCCTTTGGCAACTCCTTTGCCCGAGTCGCGTTCAGGGGATATGCGCCTGGTGAAGAGAGACAAGAAAAATAACCCCCATTGTTGTGACCATCAACGGCCAGCAAACAATCCACAAGAGGTTTTTTTTTTCCGGGTTAGATCTCGTAAATGGAAAACGCGTCGTTAAACTCGCCACCACCCGACACAGCAAATTAGTAAGGTTTTTCACGTAAACAGAACGTGCCAATTCATTACCAGTACAGCACACCGGTATGTTGAAGAGCAAAGATGCAACATTAATCTTTTTTTTAACATTAATAAAATGTTGTGGGTTTACTCTCCAACACACCAACCGGTTAGTGCTGTACTAGTAACGAATTGGCAAGTTTTGTTTACGTGACAAACCTTACTAAGTGGCTGTGTCGGGTGGTGGTGGGTTTAACGACATAATTATCGCGATATAACCCACGAAAAAACCTCTATGGACATTGGTCGTGAAAGCCTACAGGTTAAACTGCCAGCATACAAGTTTAGTGAGCACTCTACCATAGTTGGAGTTTGCGGTGTCTCTCTCTCCCCATGGTCACGTTTTATTCTTTCTCTGGGTCCTACGGGTTTTCCCTCCACATTTAGAATCGACATGCATTTAAAGGGTATTTGCCTGCTGCTATAAATATGCACACGATAAGCCACTTTGTTGAGCATCATCTGTGGCCAGGTCACTTCTGAAAACGTGATAAATAAACTTATTCGGCCTGACTTCGTAAAATAAAAAATAGTTTAAACGATACTGGGCAAACATACCAATGCAGAAAAATTGCCCCAAAAATTACTCGATTGGGATTTCAGTATTCCCCCGTTATTCACGACTGACACATTCTGGAGATGCTCGTGAAGATAACGGTATTGGCCTACAAGAACCTATTTTGGCGATGCAACAGCCTCTTAAAGGGTATAAATGCAAAAAGAATAATAACAAAAATGTACAATAATATAATTGTTCTGTAAGAATTACCGATGCTTTTCGATTTAAAGCTTTCATGACTGCAAGGATTCATCTTCTTTGGTTCTTTCGGTAAAGTCACGTAGAATGAGAATAAAATAATAAAATAAAACATTTGTAGCTCTGTCGTCCCGACAGGTTTGTTCCTTTCACCTGAAGAAGGCCACTTGTGTTGTGGCCGAAACGTCGTGAGAATTTTATTGTTTTATTTTTTATTATTTTATTCTCATTCTACGTGACTTTACCGAAAGAACCAAAGAAGAATTACCGATGCATTTTGTATATCGATAACACAATGGGAATGACACGGAACAAAAAAAAAATCCATCGTGACATAGCACCTTTTGGAATGACATCACTTCACTGTTCCACAACAGTTATTAACGGGCACTCGCATTAGGTGACGTGACGCCAACAGAACGATTTGAATAAAATTGTAAACAAAGGGAAAAATAAAATAAAAAATAAAGCGGCACGCTCGCTCACCGTCCGTGAAAGAGTCCAAGGAATCAAGGCATTGCTTGGCATCCCGCACTTCGTACACACCCCCCGCATGCAGCATAGGCACGGCGGGCGCCGCTGCTGCCGCCGCCGCCGCCGACGCCGCTGCAACAGGGGAGGCTTTCGGAAGCGCTGCCCCCTCGTGACCACCGCCGGTGCCCGCAGCAGAAGCAGCGGCAGCAGCGGCACTCGCGATGGGAGGGCCGTTGGTCATGAGCGGAACAGGACCCGCTGTGTGCATGGAGGACAGCCGAGTGGCGCCGGCGACGGTCGACGGCCGGACGCTGAACCCAGGGGGCACGCTGATCCCGGAGAGGCCCATCGCGTGGGGCAGCATCTGGAGACAGGCCCTGGTTCCACACACGCAAGCGGTGAAGAAACAACACACAAATTCTGACACCCCTCCTCCGGGCCTGGCAATCACCTGCCAACTGGCACTAACAAAGCCACCGCGGGATGAGTGCTGTTAGCGAGCGCCTATTAAGATCACTCGAGTCGGTGGGGTAGCAAGCACACCACCCCCCAGCCGCATTTGCCTCCCCATTGATGACGTTTTCACACCACACCGGGTACTCGTTTGATATTTGAACTCCCAGGAGCGGGGTTCAGATATTCGGCACCATTGACTTTAGCTGCGTCCGGGAATCGCAGCGAGGCCATCGGGTTAGGTATCAGTGCACTAAACAACAGCACCACCACTTCCGATTTTGACAACACACCATATAAAGGTTCCTTACGTAGCCTGCACATACTGGTGCTATTGGCGGGCAACTACACGCACCACTGAAAGTTTTATCCGCTCACTCCGCGCTTAGAATTCCCCGAGACAGGGCCACAGCCTACCCGTGCTGCAGAAACGGTAGCTGGTTGCTGGACACGTGGAACGACGGCATGACCAGGATGGGCCGCTGGGGCCTATGAACGGCGCCCAGGGCGGACGGCCTGGCCTGCTGCAGCTCTGCGCCCGGCGGGAGCATTGGCGACACCACGGCGAGGCTCTGCTGGAAGGCGGGCGGAAGAGTCTGGTGCAGGATCGGCACGGGAGGCATCTGTTGGGTGAAAAGCGAAGGTGCCACCACCACCACCACCACCGTCAGTCAAGTGTTTGACGCGCTGGTGCCGAATCCCAACTCAAGTGGGAACCGTGTAGGCTCTTGTTGGTCGAGCTGTTTTGGGTTTCTTCAGTGTCACTGGGTTGTACCCCGGTGTTGATTTGCACGATCTCAATGTCAGAATCAGAATCTTTATTTAGACCGTGGGAGAAATCCGACGTGGCTATGAAGCTCCTTTTCACAAATGTCCGGGAGGCGCATGAGGTCAGCAAGTCACAACAACAACAACAACAAAAAATACAACAAAAAGTTGGGATGTCCCCAAGAAGCTTCCTGTACGCGGATCGAAACAATGGTCATCTGTGCCGAACGAGATGCAGTGCAACCCAAAAGCACATCGGCAGAGTTGCCGAGGATGGGAGGCCCGTCGTGTGAAGCCCACCTGCATCGCGTGCTGCGTCACGTAGGGCTCCTTCCCCATGAACGCGTCCAAGTCCATGCCGCATCCGTCACCGTGCAGCTGCATGGCGGAACCAGCCGCCGCCGCCGCCGCCGCCTGCTGCTGCTGCCGGTGCTCTGCCGGTGCTTCGGGCGCGATCGCGGCGAAAGCCGCCCTCTCCTCGGCGGCGCCGCATACCCCCGCCGGCGCCGTCTCGGCCGCCGGGGACCCGGCCGGCGGCTCGTCGTCGGCGTGCGGCAACGCGGAGCGCGGGTGGGCGCCGTCACCGTCGTCGCCGCCGCCGTCGCGGTCGCTGTCGCCCTCGCCCTCGCTTTCGGCCGCGTCGCCAAACCGCTCGGCGGAGCCCTCCTCCGAGCCGTCCCCGAGCGACGCGTCGTCGCACGCCTCGCACGCCGGCGCCTTGACGCCCTGCCCACCGCGCTCCTCGGCCGTGTCGGCGAACGCGCCGGCCACGCCGTTGGCCGCCGGGTGGGCGTCGTTGGCGGGCGCGCAGTCGGCTGAGGCGTAGGGGGACAGGCCCGACGGGACGGGCTCCGTCTGCGACGTGGCCTCCGTGTAGCCCGCGTCGGCGTGCCCTCTCTCGGCGACGTCGTCTTCATCCGTGTAGATGAGCGGGTCATCTGGCGGGGGCGGGGGCAGGCCTAACGTCAAACTGCTGCTCGTTCGCGTGACGATAAACTGTCGCATGTGAGCGATTGCATTCAACAGCTTGCTTTGTTTAATATTAAATATCATCATCATCATCCCCATACATGCCCTCTGTGTGTAGCTGAAGTGTTTGTTTGATAAAATACTTTTGGAAATGAAAAAAAGATCATCATCATCATCATCGTAGTAAGCCATGACCAATCTCTTTGGGTCATCAATAAAGAGACCTTTTGTTGTACACCGGAGTGTAGGCCAATCAGTTTCAAAGACAATGCGTATATTATCAGAGCATGTTTTGTTTGCATGTTCACCACAAGTACTGTGTGTGGTTAATGCAGACTTGATTCCTTGCAAAAGGTTTATATTCAGTGTTTGGACATCTTAACACTTCCTGTGTTATCGCTAGAAAGGGTAAAACCTATTCTTATTTTTCATACTATACTAATAATTTACATTTGTAAGCCCGATGTCATACCAAGGATCCCAATGCCAAGCTTTTCATGGCAGACGGTCCTTCGGAAAACGATCAATCGCGTGCCGCCACGCGGGGTGGCGAGCCGGAAGAGCCGGAAGAGCCGGAACAGCCAGAGCCGGAGAAGCGAGCACGAGGCGCCGAGGACTTACCCATGTCTATGTCGTCTATCGTTCCCTCCTGAGGCATCTTACTGGAAACCTGCAGGGGGGGAGGGGGCAACACGTGATCAGAGTGCCACCTTGCCAGATCTCACGAGCCGAGCAGAGCAGGGCTGGGGCCTGCTTTGTATTTCTATGCGTTCACGGTTGGCGAGCTTTGGCAAGGAAAGGTTTAAAAAAAGTCATAAATGCGGGCGGCCGGCAGTAGTAAAACGGCACTCACTGAAGAGTGTCAACGTTTCTTGAATCGAGCAAAGGGTGACGGAAACTCAGGGAGGGGGGACAAATGGAAGATTATTCCACAGCGGAACGGTGAAAGGAAAGGGGCAGAACAAAGTGTAGTGAACTTGCAAGTGTGGTGGCCGGCCAGAGTGTGGCCGAACAGTATCAGTCTGTCTGGGGACGGTACCCTAACCACGATAAGTCACCACGACAGGAAAGTGACCAGGAGAATGCATCAGAGCAATGAATTAATTATTGAATATATCTGTGGGAATCATTAACAGCTGTGTACTTTTAGAAGTGGGTTTTCTCCAGGTACACTCGTTATTGGAATTGGCCAAATATGTAAATAAATGCAGGAAGCCTCCTGAAAATAGGCTGGAGGAATCCGGTGAGCTACAAAGCTCTTTTTCAGACATCCAGTAGGGACGGGTCAGAAAGTTACAACTTATGAACCACGAGTACATTTGGAGTTCGCACAATTCCTACAGCGCAAAGTTATCAAGAAGGTGGCTATGTTTCACAGATTCGCAGTCTGGAACGGGGATATGTGTTCCTGATTTTTGTTAATTAATCTTAAAAAACAGTCCAAGACACAACATTTTATATAAAAAATTTTGTTGTCGTTTTGGGCTGACGTGAAAACCAGAAATGACGTCACTAAAATGATGTCACTTCCCCCTTCTCTCACCAAAAATTGCGTCACGTGGCAACGTGCGGCATCACATAGCCGTTAGCGCAAACAAATGTGAAATCATTAAGCACGCAACACAAAAGGATTCAGAACCCCCGATCTAATCGCCTGGTATATAGGAGGTCGTGGGTTCGATCTCGACCCTGATGCCTTTATATTTGGAGTTTGCATGTTCTCCCCATGGTCGTGTGGCTTTTGCTCCGGGACCTCCGGGTTTTCCCTCCACATTTAGCAACATGCATTTACGAGTTTTTAGTAGCTATACATTTCCACGTGATAAGCCACTTTGTTGAGCTATCATTTGTGGTCAGGTCACTTCTGAAAAACACCTATATAGCTCAGTGGGACCTTCCCTGCTAAAATTAAAAAAAAAATTAAGTGTTAATTTTGATTTAAAGCATTCGTGACTGCAGAATATAATTAAGTGTAGCAAAGTAGATTAGGAATACCTGAAAATTTGACATCGGGAAAATGTTCAATCCGTAACACATCCTCCCGTCTGCGGTAGCTCTCTAGTATGCTATGGGGAAAGGGAAATTCTTGGCACGGGTTTTAGGCGGTGTCACTCGGTGAAGGTGGAGCACTTTGGGGACCACCGTTCATTGTGAAAAATCCGAACTGCAATACCTCGCTGATGCTGCCGTTTCCAACGGTCGTGCTGATTCCATTCACAGGCGCAGTGTTCTGCAGAGGGGGGAAAAAAAAACCGGGCACAATTCTTTGCACAGTCTCACGACAATCCAAACACCCAACAGTCTCTAATCAAGTGTATTTTTGTTCAATCAAAGTGAGAACTCACGGGACCAGGGTCGTCGCACTTGCAAGTGACCTGGGGCATTAGTCTGCCAGAAGGGGGCGATGATTGCTGCTGCTGCTGCTGTGTGTGTGTGGCACAAGCGTCGTGGTGACGTCACCGCCACTTAGTGGCGAATGGCGGTTGTTGTTGTTGTTGTGTGTGTAATCTGTGGGGAGCGGTAGTGCGCTGTGCCACGAACCCGGCAAACAGGAGTTCGATTCCAGCTCGCGGCCAACAGCAGTGACGATTATCTGAACCAGTCCTGGGCCTCCCCTAGGTCGACTCAGCCTCAACTGAGCACCTGGTGTGGTGTGTAAACATCGCCACTGGGGAGCCAAAGGCGGCCGGGCGTGGTGCTGGCAACCCACCCCCCCCGTGTGCCGTTCCGGCCCTCATAGGTGCTCGCTAACAGCACTATCCCCAAGTGTGTTAAGGCGAAATGGGGGGTTGTTTGTGTGTAATCCCAATTGAGTAATCTGCAGTGTAATTTTATAATTTGGCACGTTTCAGTCCGCAATTACGGTAATACCGCGGTTCACGAAGGGAGGATGCGCCCCGTGATAGGTGCGACGACGAAGATCGAAACGACGCAAAATCAAAGCGGTTTTCTCGCCCTACGAGACCTAAACAAAGACAACGGAGGCTGTGCGGGTGGACGCGCCGTGTTGACGCTCGCGTCCTCATCCGAGACGTGCCCACAACGTTCCATTAAATGACTAAAAAAAAATTACTGAACTCAACACAAGTGTACAGCAGTAAACTTTAACACTATAAAAAAGAAATCACCAAAATACTGCAACGTAAATAATTTATTGCATCCTACAGTAGGGTACACGTTACTTTATACGTGACGCGAAAGTGGTTTGTGTACAACGCAGTCTTCCAATAAAACTGCACATCCAAATTTCACAATCGATACGCGGTTAAGGTACTCGCGCACAGCTTAACCCCCCACCACCGGCGAGGCCGCTGGCTACGTGCGACTTTCACGTGGCATTGTGCTGCCAGAGCATCCTCGAATGTGAACCGACAAGAAACGAATCATCGGCAGCAAGCAGCAACCCCCGGCCTAGGGTTAACGTTGCCCAAGCGACGCAAAGGCTGCAGCGATGTTCCCAGCTCGTTGCACGCAAGCACGCGTGCAACCACGCTCATACCTGCGTGCGGACGTAAGCCTTCCGCACCCGCAGTCCCAAAGAGACGGCGAGTTCTTGCACCAGCTTAAACACCTCCTGGTCCTGACGACGACAGCAGATGAGACCCATCAACTCGGGTGAAACGTGCACACGCCCCGCGCGTCACTCACTCGGTCGGTCGGTCGGCGCTCTGGGTGCCGCGGTGGTGCACGCAAATCTACGCGGCTACGCCCGACCCCCGTGCCGCCAAAAGGTGCCGAATCGCAGGCGCCGCGACAACACACACACACAAACAGCTCCCGTGGTTTGTCATCGGCTACGCCGGCGTGGCCACCGTGCCCGCGCCATCATCACTCACGTTGGAGATGATGCAGGAGCACTGCACGGCCACCTCGTAGGCCTCCTTGGGCTTGCCGATGGCCTTCAGTGCCTTGGCCTTGCGGTACAGCGCCTTGTGGCTCATCTTGTTGATGTGCAGCGCTTTCTCGCAGTCCAACAGGGCGTCGTTGTACTGGGACTGCGGTGGAAAAGGAGAGGACGCGGGTCAGAACAAGCACCGGCAATAAGGGCCGCCACTGTGCAGAGGTGGATTTTCCCACGCCGTCCAGCAAGCGTATTAAGCAGTGGTTCTTGATCTTTACTGCAGCCATGCACCCCCCTTTGGTTCTCAATCGTAAAAAAAAAGTATGTTAATAAATACAGGTTTGATTAAACAAAGTAGTTGTAATAGAATACGACGTTTCGATCGCAGCACAAGCAATCGTCATCAGGTAGAAAACAAACCGAGTAAACTTAGAAATATAATGGAATCCAACACAGTCGGCTAACACAACAGTCAACACCCTACCTGGTTGATTACGTTCTGCCAAAGATTGCTAAATTTGAGAGAGAGACAAAACACAGAACCGGAGACACACAGACACACAAGCAGAGAGGGACAACACAGAGACACACAGAGAGACACACACACACATAGACACACAGAGACTCTGTGTGTCTATTAAGTTGACTAGGTTTGTTTTCAACCTGATGACGATTGCTTGTGTTGCAATCGAAACGTCGTATTCTATCATTTAATTTATTTTCTCTTTCTACGTGACTTTACCGAAAGAACCAAAGAGTAATTCCTGCCGTCACGAAAGCATCAAATCAAGTTGAAAGTAGCTGTAATCACGTGCCCGTGCTTAATGTGCGTTTCGATTATTTACCTTCTAAAAGAGGGAGCCGTGCACCCCAGGTTAAGAACCACTGGAATATAGGATTGTATCGATCATCCGAAGAATGATATTGAAATCGTGCTCTCAGTCTCGTGGTGGTTACACATCACCCTGCATTAAATGGTCACAAAAGACGACATCCCGGAACTACGTCCGATGTCACTGAACAGCCCTCTTCATACACACATATTATGACGTGGTGCATCGTGTCCGTCGCACGTCAATCAAAGCAATATTAAAATTTTGAGGACTGATGTCGGCCATAGCGAGTGGAAAAACAAATCGACGGTGGGGTTTTTTCGTGCATTAATTTGGCAACTGGGCAGAAATCATGAACTCGTTACACCTGAGAACCCCATTTCATCACAAATGGCTGAAACGAGAGACTCAAACCTCGAAACTCAACTGTTGCCGGCTTATTACTCCGACTCACAAGCAGCACCAATGTTTTGGAACAACAGTGTTTCCTCCTTTAACATCGTAAACTAAAATAATAATAACTTTGCATTTTTTTGATTTTACCAGGTAAGGCCCCACTGAGCTACGTAGCTCTTTTTCAGAAGCGACCTGGCTATCACAAATGATAGCTCAACGAAGTGGCTAATTCATCATGTGGATATTCATAGTGGCCAAATGATTCGAAATGAAGGAGGGAAAAAAACGGAGGACCCGGAGAAAAATCCACACGACCTTGGGGAGAGACACGCAAAATCCAAATATACAGCAGGCGTCAAGGGTCGGGATCGAACCCACGACCTCCTGTACACCGGGGGAGGCAGTTAACATTAGTGTTGGATACAACCACATTTGCCAATGTGATTTGTAATTTTGATCCTTGCCCACGTATTGATAGCTTGATTTTAACGTGCAAATTCATTGCAGGGACGTGCGGTGTCTTGGTGTGGTCTTGGACTGTTTTTGTTGTTTTTCAGCCTTTCCCCAAGTGTGCATATGGCGTTAAAAAATCGGCAGGAATTTATGTACTTATGCAATTTTTACTTTAAAAACTTTCTTTATTTTTAGTTACATTTCTCATACCTTACACTCCTATCGTTGTTTCTATTGTTTAGTTGTAACTTTCTGACCTGCTCCTACTGGACATCTGTGAACAAGAGCTTTATAGCTCACTCGATTTTTTCAGGATAAATAATGATTAAAGATTCCGACCTGGCCACATCTTAAAAGAGATTAGCATGCCCATGATAAAAGCATCGAATGAGATAGTAACACAGAACAAATGAGACTGAACGGACAAGAAAAACGGATTCCTGAATGAAAACATGACCTGAAATCCGAACAGTTGAGTGAATCATTGACAGGGGAGAATCGTACTCGTCCAGTGCTGTGCCAGGCACGGTGTACTATTTGGCTACGTGGAGTGACAATAAGTCATTACGTTTGGCACACAATAAAATTAAGACCGTTAATAGCCTTGAAGAGTTTGCAGTAGGGGAAAGCGCTGACAAGACACCAATTTTGTCTGGCACACAACACAATGTGATTTTGTGTGCACAGCACACACACAGCCTTTAACTCAAACAATAATTATTATAATTTATTCCACTCATTTAACCGGGAAAGCACGAGACTCGGGACTCTTTATCGAGAGGTTCCAGCCAAGTTTTCACACCGCGGTGCGATGATTGCTATTAACAGTCCAACAGAGTAATTTGCGGTATTTTTTTTTAAAAAATTTGGACCATGACCCCTGCTTACTCTTATCCAAACGTCACGGGCTCTTAACGTCCACTGCGAAGCAGATAACACTCCCGCTGCCGCCCCCCCCACCCCGCCCCACGAGTATTCATCGGGGAGGCCGCTGGGTTTCAAACCGGGATCCTGCGCGGCAAGTGTCTCTGAAGGCGCCGCCGCTGGGCCACATGTAAGCTGCCCGAATGCGCCAGCAACCTCCCCCCGATAGAAAGGAGGCCCCGGCCAGATTCATAGATCAGCTGGCACGAGTTGGACGCACAACGGCCGGGCAAGTAGGCATCAAGAGCTGGAGCACGGAGGCGGTGGTGCGGCATGCTAACCAAACGGCACACCGCGCGCACCACCGGTCAGCCAGTTTATTTCGGGGTCAGGCCCATTGGATCTGAGAAGCTCTTTAACAATGGCGACCGGGACAAAATGCCAAGCGTGTTGCTACACGGGAAGGCTGGGGGGAAGATTTACAGGGGTTTTATCCATACGAACAAAATCTGGGACATTTTATTAACATGCCCACTAAAGAACCCCTACCCAACGTGGAAAGCACACGTGCAAACCTACTGCCCTGGACGGCACCATCGGCTTCGCACATCTGGAATGTGGTTATGAGTTAAGCAGCCATGCGTTTCCATTTTTAACAAGACTAGAATACACTTTTGATAAAAAAAAAATTAACAAAAAAGGGGGCAATCGTAACGTGAAAGCTGCCCAGGGGGCGCTGTTGTCAAGAGCGAGAGCCTCAACTCAATGTGGTTCTCACGAATCGGAATCCAACGCGGCGCTCAACTCCAGAGGCGAGGTGGGTGGGCGGGCACTGTATTTGGTCTGCAAGGGCTTTGATCATTCAGCGATTCTCTCGTTATTATTTAAACTACTGCCTTCATTCTGGCACCATGAGACACACGGCATTTGGAGGCGCTGCGTGAATAAAAATGTACGGGGTTCACTCGTTAATTCACAAAATTGCTATCCGCGATTTTGGCTATCCACGAATTGCATCTGGAATGCTACACGACTGCATTGAGAGAAAAAGTGACGAGACAAAATCATGCGAGATAAAGCGACGAGAGATAAAGCGACGAGAGATAAAGTGATGACAGATAAAGTGACGAGAGATAAAGTGACGAGAGATAAAGTGACGAGAGATAAAGTGATGAGAGATAAAGTGATGAGAGATAAAGTGATGAGAGAGATAAAGTGATGAGAGATAAAGTGATGAGAGATAAAGTGATGAGAGATAAAGTGATGAGAGATAAAGTGATGAGAGATAAAGTGACGAGAGATAAAGCTATGAGAGATAAAGTGATGAGAGATAAAGTGACGAGAGATAAAGTGATGAGAGATAAAGTGACGAGAGATAAAGTGACGAGAGATAAAGTGGTAAGATAAAGTGACGAGAGATAAAGCGACGAGAGATAAAGTGATGAGAGATAAAGCGACGAGAGATAAAGTGACGAGAGATAAAGTTTGAGAGATAAAGTGATGAGAGATAAAGTGATGAGAGATAAAGTGATGAGAGATAAAGTGATGAGAGATAAAGTGATGAGAGATAAAGTGATGAGAGATAAAGTGATGAGAGATAAAGTGATGAGAGATAAAGTGGTGAGAGATAAAGTGATGAGAGATAAAGTGATGAGAGATAAAGTGACGAGAGATAAAGTGATGAGAGATAAAGTGACGAGAGATAAAGTGACGAGAGATAAAGCGACGAGAGATAAAGTGATGAGAGATAAAGTGACGAGAGATAAAGCTATGAGAGATAAAGTGATGAGAGATAAAGTGACGAGAGATAAAGTGATGAGAGATAAAGTGACGAGAGATAAAGTGACGAGAGATAAAGTGGTAAGATAAAGTGATGAGAGATAAAGCGACGAGAGATAAAGTGACGAGAGATAAAGTGACGAGAGATAAAGTGACGAGAGATAAAGTGATGAGAGATAAATCGACGAGAGATAAATCGACGAGAGATAAAGCGACGAGAGATAAAGCGACGAGAGATAAAGTGACGAGAGATAAAGTGACGATAAAGTGATGAGAGATAAAGTGATGAGAGATAAAGTGATGAGAGATAAAGTGACGAGAGATAAAGTGATGAGAGATAAAGTGATGAGAGATAAAGTGACGATAAAGTGATGAGAGATAAAGTGATGACAGATAAAGTAATAGAGATAAAGTGATGAGAGATAAAGTGACGAGAGAGAAAGTGACGATAAAGTGATGAGAGATAAAGTGACGAGAGATAAAGTGATGAGAGATAAAGCGATGAGAGATAAAGTGATGAGAGATAAAGATAAAGTGATGAGAGATAAAGTGATGACAGATAAAGTAATAGAGATAAAGTGATGAGAGATAAAGTGACGAGAGATAAAGTGACGATAAAGTGATGAGAGATAAAGTGACGAGAGATAAAGTGATGAGAGATAAAGCGATGAGAGATAAAGTGATGAGAGATAAAGTGATGAGAGGAAAGTGAGGAGAGATAAAGTTAATTTATAAAGTGTTAATACTTAATATAATTTGTTTTATTTACTTTAAGGTGATTATAACCAATTTCTTCTTCAGTTATTATGATCATTGGCCATGTATTCAACAGCTTATTCACGGACAGCGTATCCGTGAACTTTGCCGTTCACGAGCAACTGCGGAAACGCGTCCCGCGCGAACAAAGGGCGAACGCTGAAATGCCCATCGAATAATTCTCAGGTAACTTTTCAGCATTGGCATGTTTTCCCAACGCCAATTTAAACGATTTAAACATTTTTTTAAAATTTCACCAGACTGTTAAAACAAGTACCCCTTCCCCCCCCCCCCCCCCCCCCCCGCGGCAAGCCAACAATGGGCATCCCCGCTCACGGAAAAAAAGTGTGGACTCGTTTATAGGGCCGCTTAAAGCGAGTACCCCCCCCCCCCCCACATGCGTGGGTGTTTCAGCAGGGAGCGGGGAGACAGTGCCACGAATACTGCTACATTTGATAAGCAACGACCAAAGGGCACCTGCAGTTAGACTGTACCAAGGCTGAATGTGCCAAGGCAATACTGACATACATACTCGCTTGTTTGAACCCACAGACCAGCAGAGAAACCCGTAGACTAACACGGGAGACAAGATAATTTGTTGACCGTCCCCCACCCCCCCCCCACCCCCCCCAGCCGCACCTCCGATTAAGCACGGTTGGCTACGTACGGTGCGGAAGAAGTTCAACGTGTTTGCAGATGTACATAGTCACCGCAATGGATTTCCCTGCAGAGTTTCACCTGCGTGCACAAATGTTTTCACTTCCACTTTCTTCAAGATAAGCATAGCTCGTGACGCCGGCAAAAATGACGTCTCGTCTCAACGCCGCCGCCGCCAACCACCGTATCTCGACCCAGTTTATTTTTTTTAGCCGTACACGAAGACGTTTCGACGTAAATACATAAGTACGTACATAAGCACGTACTCGAGCTTCGACGAATCGTCACTTTCCTCGGTCGCACAAAACGATTCGTGAAGTGTTTTCGGTCTCGTTCGAGGTCGTCCGACTCGCGCGTTTCTGCTCCCGTTTGTGTTTGTCTGCGCCGTTTATATTTCACGCCCGTCTCGCGTGTAGCCTCATTTAACCGATAACCGCATGCCAGATGTGCGAACCCAAGGGTGCCATCCACGGCAGTAGGTTTGCACGTGCGCTTTCCACGTTGGGCTGAAGTAGTAACTCATTTCCGCTTTTGTTTACGTGACAAATCCCTTACTAACTGGCTGTCGGGTGGTGGAGGGTTACGACACAACATTTATCATCTTGATTTGAAGCTTTCGGGACTGCAGGAATCCATACCCTTTGGTTCTTTCGGTAAAGTCACGTAGGTAGAAAAATAAAATAAAACAAATCACGACGTTTCAGTTTAACACGTAGGCTTTCGCGACCAATATTATTCATAACAAAGGTTTTTGGGTTAGATCGCGTTATTTATGTGTCGTAACCCTCCACCACCCGACACGGCCAATCAGCAAAAAAGTGTCACGTTGACAAAAGACAAATAGTTCACTACTTTAGCCCACCGGTGTGTTGAAGAGTGAATACACACCATTTACAGTTTGAGTACGACGTTTCGCTGGTAATTACATCCAGCATCATCGGGCAATTCGCCAGAATGGTAAAGCCCTCACTTGCTCCCGGTCTTAAATAGAACAGCAGGGTGACGTCATCATTTAACTCATTATGAATCGTGACGTTTCGATCGCAACCTCTTGCCACGGCAGCTCTCTCGCCTACTTCAGCGTTTTTTCTTGCTGTGGTTGTTCCACCTGATGAAGATTACTTGTGTTGCAATTGAAACGTCGTGATTTGTTTTATATTATTTTTTTTCTACCTACGTGACTTTACTGAAAGAACCAAAGAGTATACATTTATACTTACGAGATCTAACCCAAAAACCATTCATTCAATTTGCCGAAACAGAATATTATCCTACATGGTCGACAATCACCATCATAAATAATCGATTCTTAGGCGCAGGCCATTGCAGGCACGCACGCACGCACGGCGAGCGTAAGCGTCAACAAATCAACGGCTATTGTATTTTTTTGTATCGTTTGTTGTTGTGACTTTCTGACCCCCCCCCCCCGTGCCCAACCTCCCCCCTTACCGGAACATCCGTGCAAAAAATAAAAACGAGAAAAAGGGGGCTTCATAACACAGCTCAATGGATCCCTCCAAAGGCCCACGAACGATCCCGCACCATTCCGAGGAGGCACGTGGCGCGGTTGACGTAGAGCTTCTCCACGACGCCAGATTCGCTGGGGAAGCCCTCGATGTCGTGCATGTAGGCGCACACGCCCAGCGCCTCCGAGTACATCTCGTGCGCGCGCAGCGCCTGCCCCTCGCGGTACAGCTGATTTCCCTCGTCCCGCAGGCCGCATACCAACCGGTGCAGGTAGCCCTGTGCAGCAGACGGGAACAGCGGGGGAGGACGAGCGTTAGGACGGGCCGCGTGCATTCGCCCGTCTAATCCGCCCGAAGAGCGACGTGGGGGATATATTAATGAGAACCGACCGCCGTGCAGGATTCTTTTTCGCGGGGGCCGTAGGCTGCGTGCCGTTCGTCGCGATGTCCGGCGTTTCGCCCCACTCTCTGGGAGCTACTGCAGGAGGTCCCATTTTCGAAAATGCATCAGGCGAGACGTCGGACATTGTACCGAACAACGCCTGGTACCACCCCTGAAAGCACGCGAGGAGGCTTTTGAGAGCCAACACTTACCAATTGTAGGCTCAGTTTAATAGTTCAAGCATTGCCCTGTTGCAGTTTTTGCCCTACGAATCACCTTCAATGCAGTAGAGGGCATTTTTATTAGAGGCCTTTTTCAGTTGACAGCTGGATGAGGGCCTGTTAAGACACGGGGGTTATTTGGCTAAACGTCCAGTACCATGCTGGTCAGTGTGGGTTTGTGATGGACCGATTCAGAAATGACGTGGAATTGATGTTATCAGTGGCTGAGACAAAAAGACTGGCTGCATAGCACTGTGCACTAACCACTGTGCCGCCTTGCACCGCCACTTGCCCAACTCCACGAGCGATCTAGCGCAGTTTATTTCAAGATTATGTGATGGCAGGTAAAGCAGTAAATATATGGCCATGCCCGCAGACCCTATAAAGGCATTACACTCGAAACCAAAGGATCAATTGTTTAAAAAAAGAAATTGAAAGTTAAACTTAATTTGCAGGGAAGAAATTATTAAAACTGGCTTTGAACCGGTTGGAAACGACCTCCGAGGCACCCAAATCGATTAACAGTCCGTACTTCTCAATTTTATTTCTCTTATTCCACGTGGGCAGTGCGGCTAAAAGACTGCAGGTGACGCAAGAGGCGCTGGCAAGTCTGACTTGTGCTGGTGGTAGACGTGCCCCCATTTTAATCAGCGCCCTAAAACAGCGCGCCCTAAAACGGTGCGCCTTGACACCACTGGATGCCCTCCGCTGAATGTTTATGAGTGGAAAGGCTTTTTAAAAATTAAAATCTGCACGACGGAGTCTCTACAACCCAGAAATCTTGACAGGATAAATATATTATTGATATTTATTGGGGCGGGGGGGGGGCAGAGAGAGGGAGGGGGGGTCACCCTCAGCAATATTTCTAAGTAGTCTTCAAAAATGAGGCCTAACCAAAGTTTACAATTCAGTCACATGTATCATTGAACGTTATACAGCCGTTATGTACGGTAGTTTGTCCCCGGTTGAATGTCGTCACAATGTTCTAATCAACAGCAGCTCACACACTAATCTGCAGATGGCCTTGTGGCTTATTAAACAGATACACTTACAGAAGTCTGAATAAGTGCAAGCATATTTCCATTCATGTACGCGTTCATTCATAAGATTCATAGGTTCAATCCATCTTCAACACTTCACTGCGATGCAAAACTCAATGCAGGTGCCACAGAGAGGCATTGCGCTCTGGATCTTTGACAATTTCTAAAAAGGATGGGTGTTTTATTCCCATACAGAAAACAATAAGATGCCCAACGCATTAAATAGCAAAGTCTGTGGATTTCACAGATATACTGTGGGTGCCACATGGAATACTGTACAGATTAAGAAGAGATCGATTTTGCTTAATGGGATTCCACCTGCTCCTTAATAATCAAAAGAGAAAACCAACGCAACGATTGCTATCCAACAGTGACTTCACACTCACTTGCCAGAAATTAACCACAATGCCTTGATGGAGCATAAACCATCGTGCAAAATCCGATGATTCTCGCAGCGGCTTTTGGCCAACCATCGAACAAAGACGGTCACCGCATCGCGTGCTTTCAGATGCGCATCTGCGGCCGTCTGGAATGCTCTTCCTTCCGATATCAGTAAGCCACTGGGAGCTGTGCACTTTTAAAGTTAGATTGAAAACGCATTTCCTAAAACTGCTTTTTGTGTTTAGTTTGTTGTCCTTCCCACGCACCTCCGATTAGCGCGGTTGCCTATGTAAGAAAGAAGTTCAACGTACATAGATACATACACAAGAGGGCCACAGTCCAACATGCTTTCTTGGTAAAACACTGCTGCATTACAATTTAAAGGCACCAAATCAAATGCCTCCCATAAAAACAAGAGCTCATAACCAAAACGGCAAGAAGGAGACAACAGAAGATAAAGGCATTGATATTAAACATTGCCAAGGCATTTCATGAAACAAAACACCCCCCCCCCCCGCTCCTGCAGCCTGTTCAACGATTGTCAGAACCGCAACAGAGGAACTGTGAGCGTGATGTCGCAGGAGTCGAAAACCGATTACGCTGGACACCCGATTCATACAAGGGAAAGAAAAAAATGTATCCATTTCTCAGAGATCAGAGCAGATTCCAGATGACACGAGAAGAAAAATCCAACGCAATCCGCTCGAGAAGGATGAGGAAATCGTTCGCCAAAGAGCCACCCAGCAGAGCAGACTGCATCAGCTGGTATTGACTGAAGATAAATTCCAAAATTGAGGTTTTACTTTGAGTTAGATCGTGTCAATATGAGTGTGTCGTTAAACCTGCTACCACACGACACAGCCAATTAGTAAGGCTTGCCACCTTATTAATTGGCTGTCGGGTGGCGGCGGGTTTAACGACATTTATATTTACGCGTTCTAACCCAAAATAAAACCTCATGGATAATATTAGTCGCGAAAACCCAAGTGTTCAACTTAAGATAAATTAACGCAATGATGCACAGCCGCATCCCGTAAGGACCGAAGGTGGGTGGTGGCGTGGCAACTTTACAAATTCCGAGGATTCCCGAGCCGTGGGTCGGCACGAGCCGGCGGTCGCCATCCACAAGTGTGGCTGTGGTGTCGGTGCAAGTTCACACAGGCGCGGCGAACGTTCGAAAAACCGACGCCGCTTGCGAAATTCGCTTGCATCGTCACGGCCATCTGCCAATATGATTTGCGCGCACAGAGCACGCATCCGTGCAGGCGTTTAGTGTAAATATATTTGCGATCCATGACCCTCCAAAGCTCAGAAATCTTCCCACAAAGTTAAGAGGGGTACACGTCCCAGAGATGCTCGTGAATAGCACATTTCGCTGATAATGATGTTGGCCTACGGAAACCTATCTTTCGAATGAATTACCTGAAAGAAATACATTAATAATCTATTAAATACATGGAAATTACCATAACACATCTATTTATCTCATCACTTTATCTCTCATCACCTTATCCAATCACTTCGTCTCTCTCTCTCGATGATGCAGCAGTCATGCAAAGCTCCAGATGCGATTCGCGGATAACCAAAAATCGCGGACAGGAAGTTCGTGAGTAACGAGAGATTACTGCATATCAAATCCCAAGCAGCACTGTGCGATTAAGCATTTCTAGTATGAACATTGTTTGAATCACAGTTTCTGAGTACTGGCAAAAAGGTCACGAATTCCCAGTGGCCACCAACATAAAAAGCACCCACGAAGGAGTAACGGATGAGAGTCAACACATTTATGAAAAAAAAGGATTAAGGTTTTCCCCTTTCCGGCAAAAAAACAGGTGTTAAGATGTTCAAACACCAAATAAAAGCGTTTTTCAAGGAATCAAGCCTGCATTAACCACACATACTTGTAGTGAACATGCAAACAGAAACATGCTCTGATAATATACTTGCATTGTCTTTGAAACTGATTGACCTACACCAAAGACAGACTTTTTTGGGGCCTGATCTCACCAGTGTCAGACCAGAGGACGCCAAAAAGGGGAACAGCACAAAGACAATGCATTATCATGGCATTCATAGCCCGGGATTGAGCAGCTACAAAATGGGACCTTTTTGCCAGTACCAAAGTGTGAAAAAAAAGAAATAGGTGTTACCCTTTCTGGCAATAAAACAGGTGTTAAGATGTTCAAGCTGTCTCTGGTGTAGGCCAATCAGTTTCAAAGACAATGCCAGTATATTATCAGAACATGTTTCTTTGCATGTTCACCACAAGTACTGGGTGTGGTTCATGCAGACTTGCTCTCCTTGCAAAAGGTTTATATTTGGTGCTTGAACATCTTAAGACCCGTTTTATTGCCAGAGAAGGTAAAACCTATTATTATTTTTTCAAAGGGTAAAACCTATTCTTATTATTTTTTTTCATACTTTTATATTAGCAAAAAGGTCCCATTTTGTAGCTGCTCACCCCGAGCTAAAAAGTCAACTTATTTCTTTGAATTGCGCAACGTGAGAAGAGTTTGGCGAAAAGAGAGAATCAGACGGCATTCCGAAGTTGAGCATTGCGAGCGAAGAAGCTGAAAGCCTCATCAACAAACTGGACTCACAACCCAAGCAGGCCGCTCCGAACAAAACAGGTATTTACACGCTGACGTAAAACCTGTTTAAACATAAAAAGTTGCCTAATATAGTTCACGCGAGAGAGTCATTTCCTCAAGAGAAAAGGCTCTCGACATTTTACCCCGTGTCCAGGCAGTTACGTGTTTTAGCACGTGCACCAATGGTGCCCACTCAATTAATTTGACTCTAAAAGGCGGCGGATGTGGCACATTTGCCACCCCTTGTCACTCAAGGTTGGCGCTTACACGCCGCTCAGCGGCAACCCCTTCGCTTACAACCGCAGGCGGAGTGGCCACGAGTCCGCACCGTCTGCCGTCACAGACGGTGGTCAAACGATCCCGCGGCATCGCTCGAAAGACAGAAAAGGCCACGGGGGTGCCTCAACTGTTCCAATTTGTCAAACGTCAGAAGTTTACGCGCGCACATTATGTAATGGTGGCAAACTGCAGGTAGCATCATCGCCGCCCCCCCCCCGCCCGCCCCCTACTGACGGACTATACCTATACGTGAGACGCAGTTGCTTTTGTGATAGCCGGCGCGTGGTGCTAAGAAGAAAAGTGTAACTACCTAATGTACAAATGAAATGAATGCATATGTTAACCTCCACAAACCCAAACCCTGCCCCCCCAACCGTGTGTCACGACCAACAGAGTGCTCAAGTATTTAACAAACAAAAAATCGTCAACACTGCACACACCATTGATTTGCTTTTAATGACTGTAATCAATGGGAAGATCTCTGCAAAATGACAGCGGCATGCTGGTGGTTCATGGCGGTTCTAGCCCTCTCCACCTTGTACTTTTAAGTTTGTGTCAACCCACTAATTGTCCGGTCTCCATTTCTTCAGCGTCTGTTGCAACAGTTATCAAAACGACCCACGTGATTACACAGCAATGCCCATAGATATTTAGACCGAATGACCAATAGTGAAAGTGAATGCTCATTTTTGTTCCATCTCACAAATTTCACATCACGAAATTCGTTTCAATCACAAATGACGTTAAAACATTTTAAATCAGCAATGTGGACTATTTGTAAGCAATCCATACAAGTCGGTGTTTACCATACATATCTCACTGTCATGATCAAACTTTCCATTATAGCCACCAAGTGGCAGGCACAATATTTTCTATTTGCACAAGTTCCTCGTATAGCAAAACACACTGTTCGGGCAACTTATGTTAGTAAGCACATATTTAAACTATTTAACACTTTTTTATTTTACCAGGTAAGGCCCACCTTCTTCAGAAGCGACCTGGCCACAAATGATAGCTCACCTTAGTGGCTTATCACGTGGAAATTTATAGCAGCAGCCAAATACACTAAACGCACGTTGCTTCTAAATGTGGAGGGAAGAAACGGAGAAAAAATCCACGTCACCACGGGGAGAGAGAGACATGCAAAACTCCAAATATACAGGCATTGTCAGGGTCGGGATAGAACCCACGACCTCCTGTATACCAGGCCTGGGAGTTATCTTGCCACCATCGCACCCATGGCCCAATACGGCCATGGTGGCCAATATTTCACACATCACACCTCGCCACCGGAATTTACCCCCCTCCCCCCCGCTAATTACACACAGCACCAGATGCTACCAAGACCAGCAAGGCAAACAATTTAGGCACTGTGGCTAAGCACCACACCCGGCAAACAGAATCAGGCACTCTTTTAAGGCAAATTTTAACCGATAGTAATCGGAACCAGTTTAGATATATCACTCACCACCGAAGTTAGCCGTAACTGCAAATTTAACTCAGATTGCCGGCCGCGTAGCGATGTCCAATGACAAAGATCCCCCGTACAGCCTTAAAAGACTGTTAGGGCGAGCACTGGTAGCACCTATGAAGGCCGACACGGCGCACGAGAGGGTGGGTGGCCAACACCGCGCCCGGCCGCCTTTGTCTCCCGAGTGGCGATGTTTACACACTGCACCAAGTACTCATTTGAGGCTGAGTCGACAGAGGGGCGGCCCAGGACCGGTTCAGATAATCGTCACCGGTGTTGACCGTGAGCGGGAATTGAACTTCGGTCGTCAGGTTCGTAGCGCGGCGCACTAATCGCAACACTACTGGCTCCCCCGTAGCAATGTGCTAACACACACACGCAGTTAGCAGCATTCGAATTGTCTACAACACAAGAGACCATACCTTGTACTCTTCATCGGAACCAGCAAACGGCAGCGGAGACCTAAACATGGACAGACACACACCAGCATACTGCTTAGTAACAGAACGTGAAAGGCACCCGCAAGAAAGTGCCATCATCCAGTGACAATGTGGGAGCAGGTACATCCCATCGTGGGATTGCTCGACGGGCATCTTAAAACAAAAAAACACCGATCGTAGTGGTCTTTAAAGTTAACCTATAACAACACTACTTGTGTTTCTGCTGTCAGTATACTCGTTACACCCGTAGCCACGACTGTCTATAAACCCATGGCAGTTTTGGCCAGTTAAGATAGTCACCCAAAATTAAATATATATTTTTAAGCCAATACTGGGACAAAGAAAACCTAGATTTAGGCAGAAGGCACACCCGAACCATTTGGACCCTAACCCTAAACGACTGCCAACACAACCGCTACAACAGGTTTTTTTTTTTATGGCAAACAGGAACCGAAAAAGTTAAGAGGAACCTTGTGTCAATCCTTCAAAGGGTAGTTGCAATTGCAAAGAAGACAGGTTTAAGTTTTGTCACTAAACAAGAGCAGTTGAAAGTTTATAAACTGCGCAATCGACTAGTTAACATAGTGGCTACTCCATGAACACTCAAGACAGACCGTCGGTTCAAACTGTGTACTTTTCATGCTGGTTTTAGCAAAATTGCAATGTGCACTGCGGGTATTAGCTATAACGTGCATTTCATGCACTCTAAAACGAGTTTCCTATGGTATATATTTTTTTAAAAATCCTTTTGCAGAGTTCACACCAAACAAGGTACAACGTCGAAACAAAACGTTACCGCTGTACTTTATATTTAACATGTGGTGGCCATGCTACCGCCTGTACACAGGACGATTAATGCACTGCCAGATGTTTTCGGTAAGTGCATTTAACTTGCCGAACGAGAAGCCGCAACCTTTTTTCAATTGAGCAGCAGCAGCAGCGCATGATCAAATAGCCCTGCTGGATTAAAACGACTTTACTCCCCAAGCTATCTCGCCAACATACACGATCTTCGTTCAGGAACGGCAGGCGCACACACACACACAACACACCAAACACTGTGTACGTCTAAATCGAAACCCAGGGAAACAAGACTTCAAGTTCACTTACATTCGGGGAGGAGGAGGAGCAATGTCCCGACACATTTCTCGCGGCAATCAAGGTTTCTAAAACACCGCAAATCTCACGAGAGGAGAGATACAAACCTGTCCGATAATTAAAATAACACCTCAAGTGCGTGGCTTGACAACCAAACCAAATCCCCCACCACCACCACCACCACCCCTCACCACCCAAGCGTTTCCAGGCCTCAGCGGCGTTGCCAGGCCATATGACACTACCACCATCACCGCCGCCGCCTCGAACCCCACAACGTTATCCGTTCTCTCAAATCCACGCCCGAAGGTGATCGTGTTGTTGTTGTTGTGCACGCGGAGTCTCACTGCAGAAATTCAAGGCCCTCTTTGATGGCCTTCTTCCTCGCCCGTCGATATCCACTGCCATCCACCTCCATCTTCCTCCTCCCGGTCGGCCCAAACAACAACAAAATATTCGAACCCCCCTCGCCCGCCGAAGACGCCGCCACGCACGATCGCCGGCGAGACACTTTCGCACAGTCGAGCAGAGGCTCGTGCCCTAACAACAGCAGCAGCAGTAGTATTAGTATTAATTTTGATTGATAATTATTTCACGGCCGCCGAGGTCGCGTGCGTTCGGCTTGTCCCGGTCGCTAAGGCCCCACCACGCTCATCGCGGCCCGACGCATTTCGGCTTTAGCAAACGGCTCGGAACGGGGGGGGGTTTCGCGGCCCCTTCAACGAACGCGCCAGGGGCTGGCGATTATTTGTCGCGGCCGCCGAGGTTTCGAGGGTGCAAATTCGCCGACAACTTTTGCCGTGGCGACTCGGCCGCCTCCATCGCAGACTCGGAACCTCTTCCTCCTTTCACACACCCCCCCCACCACCAACAACCACCGCCGCGGGGGCGGGGCCTACGTCAGAAAGTGGGCGGGGAAAACTACGAGGACGGCCAGTGGCAGAGACGACTCGGCGGGGGGCGTGGCAGACGGCGGGGGTGGGCGGGGATCTTGGCGGGAATGGGAGTGGCTGGGTCTGGGCGGGCGGGGTTTTGGGGGAGGATGGGGGGGGGCTAGGTCTGGGTGGGCGGGGGCTTGGGGGGAATGGGCGAGGCTACGCCTCAGTGGGCGTGGCCGACTGAAGTGGGGGCGGAGGCTGAGGCCGAACCCGTGCAAGAGCGCTGTAACAGGATTGGATTGCGCCCAATTTCTCGAGAAAAAGCCCTCCATATTAGGCGGCCCCTGGACGCTGATTGGCTGAATTTTGATTAACATAATTTATAAGAAATTCTGCCGCGGATTGGGCCGCCCCTTGACGCTGATTGGCTGCCTTTAACATTAACATAATTTAGAATTATTTATATCTGCAGCGGAATAGGCCGCCCCTTGACGCTGATTGGCTGCCTCATTATCATTAAAATAATGCATAATTAATTATATGGATAAGGCCGCCCCTCGACGCTGATTGGCCACCTTTATCATTAACATAATTTATAAATCGCTCTGTCGCAAGCGCCGCTCGTTTGTCGCCAAGCAGCACGGCCGGGTTGCTATAAGCGGATGTGACGTTTACAAAACGAGACCGTAAAGGATTGTGAGAGGAAGTGACGTTCAGCGCTGCGCAACGAACCCCGGGGCCGCGTCCGCGGCCACCAAACACCGGTGACGATGATCCGAACCGGTCCTGGGACCCCCTCCAACCCCTTAGGTCGACTCGGCCTCAAACGACGGCCTTGGCACGGATGGTTGTCATTATCGCCAGCCGATACTTCGCCTTCGGTCATTGACGTCACTGAGACGGCTGTCGCGGGGTTCGCGCCGACAAGTGGTCACCACGCACGGGCGGTGACGTCACCAGTTCGACGACGTCAGAGGGATTCCCCCCCACCCCCTCACACCCCCCCCCACACCCCTAACCCCCCCACCCACTCACACTCCCCCCACCCCCTAGCCCCCCCTCACACTCCCACACCCCTTAACCCCCTCACACTCCCCTCCCGACCCCACCCCCTCACACTCCCACACCCCCTCACACCACCCCCTAACCCCCCGACACCCCTAACCCCCCCCCCACACACCCCTAACCCCCACCCCACCCCTAACCCCCCCCACACCCCCCTAACCTCCCCACACCCTAACCCCCCCACCCAGCCCCTCCCCTCTCCACCCAGCCCCACCCTCCCATTTTTGGATGCACGACGGACGGACGGACACAATAATCCTCTGTGGGCTGGTGGTGTAATAACCAGGCGGTTCCTACCAGTAAAACATGCTCTGATAATATACTTAATTAAATAGACTTTTAAAATAAATGTTTTCTCCTACAACATCAGAGTGCAGCGCCATATTAAATACGCACTACAATGGCAATAGTTTAAAGCGTTTTGAAGCATGTTTTTTTTGGAGGGGGGGGGGGCAGAGCTTTGTGACGTCATATTTGAGGGGGTCTGACTTTTTGTGACGCCGTGTGACGAGGGGGGGGGGGTCCAAAATCGCGTGACGTCATTTATGGACGACCCCCTATTTGAACGTCTTCCACCGTTTCGGTGCCAACAGCCCGAACACCACGCCTTCAAAGATCCCCCGTATCCCCTTTGCAGCTGTTGGGGCAAGTGCTGTTCGCGAGCACCTATGAAGGATGGCACAGCACACGAGGGGGTGGGTGACCAGCACCACCCCTGGCCTCCTCTGTCTCCCCAAGTGGCGATGTTTACACACGGCACCAGGTTCTCATTTAAGGCTGAGTCGACCGAGGGGAGGTCCCAGGATCGGTTCAGATAATCGTCACTGGTGTTGGTCGTGAGCGGGAATCGATCTCGGGCTGCCGGGGTTCCAGCGCATCGCGCTAACCGCTGCACCACCGCTCCCCAGTTGTTCGCAGTACTTGCTGCTATCCACCAGAGGGTGCCAGAGGCATTTCCTAATCGTTACCACCGCCCCACACTTCAAGCAATAGATCAGGGGTCCCCAACCCCCAACTGTTAGGAACCGGGCCGCACAACAGCAGCAGGAGGTGAGAGCGGTGAGTCCGATTACGTGGCCCGCCCATTATTTTATTATTTACCACTTCCGTCCGCGCCTCTTTCCCGCACTGCGCGCCTTGTCTCAGTCACAGTGTTGGTAAGCCCACAATAATGCATTTATAATGTAGGAAGGAAGAGCGTTCCAGACGGCCGTAGAAGCGGATCTGAAAGCGCCGCGCGATGCGGTGACCACCGTCTTTGTTCGACGGCTGAGCCAAAAGCCGCTGCGACGATGACTTCCGGAGTTCGCGTGATGATGGTTTATGCTCCTTCATAAGATCAGCAAGGTATTGTAGTCCATTTGTGGCAAGCACATATCTCCATATACATAAAAGGCAAAGTTGTGATTATGTGTGTCTGTTCAAAATGTTTAGCGTACTTTCCCGACATGCAACAAACTTGAAATTTGCCATGTGGGTACTTTCCAGACTGTACACCATGCAAAAATTATAAAAATCCACTTTTGTTTTTTTGGGGGAGCTCAATAATGCATTTATTTTTTGCACGGCAAGTGAGCTGTGACGTCAAATCTGTCACGTGACCCGCGCACGTGGAAGCGTAACGCATTGTAGTGTAGCGGTTAGCGCTACGCCGCGCTACGAACCCGGCGACCCGAGTTCGATTCCCGCTCACGGCCACCACCGGTGACGATTATTTGAACCGGTCCTGGGCCTCCCCTAGGTCGACTCAGCCTCAAACGCGTAACTGGTGTGGTCTGTGAACATCGCCATTGGGGAGGCAAAGGCGACCGGGCGTGGTGAATCCAAGTCCCGGGCGAAGCCGGGTAGTTAAGCTAGTTTGTAATAAGCGCGACCTTACAATGCAACTGGAAGCCGATGCAGCTCAGCGAGCACCGAGCGGACACGGTCGCGGATCGTGCAGTACCCGTCACGACACGTGCCAAAGAATGTTGTACATGCTGCAGGTTGCTAATGTTTTTTTTGGCAGGCTATTTACATAACTACAGGCAGCGGGGAAACAATACAGGTTTTAATCGAATTAATGCACGCGCGTGGCGTAAAGTTGACGCTTTGGCAAAGCCAACACACACAGGTCCCCTTAACGGTCCTTAATATATCGAGTCAGTAAAAGATGCGGGGGAAAGGGGAAGCCCTTTAGTTCCCTTCTCACACCACTGCTGGCAGAAAGGCCTCCGACTGGCGTGATCTCCGTATAGAGCGCCTCTCGACGGTACGTTGGCCTGCTGTTCCAACAGGGTCAATTTGGAAGAGGCCGAAGTACCCCCACACTTTACCCCAAGACCGTAATTATAATATATATTGGGGGAGGGATATATTGGGGGTACACCCCCCAATATGTCACCCCCAACATATGTCACCCCCAACATATTGCTATAAAATAGATTTCTGTTTATATGATTGTGGTTATGGTTGTGCTTTATTAATCCCTAATCTCTGCCATTACATACAATGAAACATGAAAAGCTAAAAAAAACAAAAAAACAGAGCAATGTAATACAATACACTATTAGACATTATTGTAAAAAAATAAAAAGTCCATCCTATGCGTTAGTGAATTTTTTGTATATTTTAGGCAGGAAATTCGTTTTCAAATTTTTATTTTTTTCTGAGGGGGGGGGTACCCCCAGACCACCTGGAAGATTTGGTCCCCCCCCCCAATGTTCACTCCATGGCTACGGCCTTGCTTTTACCCCACCGCACTCACCCCGTCGATCCACTCGCTGCCGTGCACCCATTCGCACTGCTGGGTCGGCAGCAGGCGGTAAGATTTCAGGAACGTTTCCATTATTTAGACCGCCGCGCCTGGAGATCGAACGGACGACTCCTGGATTTACAAGTCCAGCGGTGTTGCACATTGCACCGAGGTAGCATCCGTCACAAGGTACATTTTGTGGCGACAAGCAAAAACAATTGCAGCGTGTGTCTGCAAACGGGAACTTGTCACAAGCGTTGTGCAAACTGAGAATTAACAGTGACTGATGTTATCAAACTCGAACATTTAGATGTATTTTAACTCACAACGACAAGGACACGTAGGCCAGTGGGAAGTTTTAGTCCGGTTATGTAATTGATTCGGTAACACGAGAGGACCGAGATAGCAAATCGGAGCCTACAGTGAGCAGCTCAGAGTCAAGCTGGCTTAGAATAGATTCCTTAAAAAGAATCTATAAATCAAATCTCCAAAAACGGGCGCCAGTAAATCTCTTCTCCTGTGTGAGAGAAGTCGCACTCACACGCAGACACATCATATCTATCCAGCTTTTAAGATGTACAGATCACAGGGGCAAGCAATGTTGGTGAGCACCTTTTAACGCTAGCATTCCCACACCAATGGGTAGTAGTGTGGTCAGCACCGTGTTCGACCACCCTGTGCCTTCCATTTCTCAAAGCCCTGAAGAAAGGCATAGGTTTTGCCCTGATCCTCAGAGATTTAATCAGACCTCGGAAGAGACCTCATCTGGCATTTTTCCCTGGCCCTCCAATATGTCGTTGGTCCGGCCCTGCCAATGCTGCAGTTTAAACGCTGCATTAGATACCCGCCTTAGGAGAGAGCTCAACTCGGAGATCACATATCACTTGCCGTTGTCGTTAGAACACAGTTGATAATTTTACCCAGGTCCACCAAGAATGTAAAGCACAGTGTGCCAACCACTGCACCGCCACACACTCGACACACAGCCTGCATCGCCCTTGCTGCATTTTTTTCCAGTTGAGCTGACTGCACTTGTACGTATGTATGTGGGTGTACGTATGTTGAACTTCTTTCGCGCCGTACGTAGCCAACCGTGCTTATCGGAGGTGCGGGTCAGTGACGCTCAGTAAGTGCCCCAACAAATGTACAGTACTCTGAAACTGAATTCCCTTCCCCACCACTGCTCCTTATCTATCATTGGGTCCCGGTTTGACAGTCC